TCTACAAAAATAATCAAAGGTGATCCTAGGAGGGCCCTTTGAGCTCTACGCGAGATCAAGGAACACTAATAAAAATCGACAAACCGCAACTCGCCTCCTTGTAAATACATGCACCGTCCGTTCTAGCACATATTTATTACCAGCAGCTTGGAAAATCATGCGCACGCACGTGCATGTATATAGGATCGGTCAGTGTATACAAAAAACACGCCACCTCGCTCGATAAACGCACGCTCCTGCTAACTGTTTAAGCTGCCAAAGGATAACAGCTCTCCCCTTCGTTAGCCTTTCCTTCGGCTCGTTTTTCCTCATCCCTCCCCGTCCAACTCATACGTTCGCGGATGTTTAGTATTATATGCATGCATTGCCAAAGAGAGGAGCGAGCAGCCACATGCCTGGCGTTCCTGACGTGCCATCGCCACTACCGATTTTCCGTTCGCCCATCATACGCGCTTATGTATAATAATTGCATCGTCTTTTTTGCGGGGTACCCTCGTGTGCGTGTATTCGTGAAGAGCCGTTCGTATCGGCGATCGGCCAACCTGTTCGGCATGGGGGAAGTGGACGAGGTGGACGAGAGACTTACGGTACTTTGCGGGCGATGAGGAACAAAATTACGCTCGTATGTATAGTATGTCCGAGTGCATGTGGCACACGATATCGGCACTGTCCGCGGAAGATTGCGTAAGATCACAGGGCGTGCACTTCGCGACACTATTGTCGGCAGAGTGTTTCCAATCACCGACATTCAGGTTTCCTCTTTTTTTTTTTTTTTTTTTTTTTTGTTTGAGCAATTTTCCGTGGGTACGGATTCTCATCAATGAACAAAGCCGTACAACGTATACAATTGAATTTTTTTCGGCCGATTTTGGTTAACGATATTCCGTTACGGTGGGGATACAAAGATAATGAAATTCACGATCCACGTGAAAAAGAAAAATCGGTACTTTTTAATGCGAAAAGACTATCCATCAGTAAATCATAATTTCAAAAACAAGCATCATAAGCGTAACAAGTTCACGATCGATTGGTCACATTAAGATTCACACGAGATGAAAAATGAAACAAAAGCTCGGAGCCATCGGGCACGAGTTTGCATACACAAACACACAAGCAGAGCTCGTCATCAAAAATAATATTCATTTCCCAGCATCCCACCAACGATGAAAAATACTGTTCAGCAGCACACGTAGGAGTCAGCAACGCCTTGAGCAACTCACTCCATCATCTCACCTCACCAGTGACAATCAGTCACGGAGGTGTTGCCGCAAGCTTCTGGTGCCGCAAGCACTGCCTGTACAGTACAGACTTTTCAAGGTTTTCACGCGAGCATTGCAAATTTACCATAAACGAGGGAGGGACTTTTCGCAACAAACGGGAGGGTAGGCAACGCTTCGAGAGATGGTGTATACGTGCATCTCCACGTCGCAGTTAGAGGTTGGCTGACTCATTCGGTGGATCTTTCGCAAGCCTTTTTTTTTCTAGGACGCTCGTGTCGTTTTGTTGTGATTTACCCTCGATCCTGGGGTTCCGCAAGGGCTCGAGAGCGGGGGAGGGACTGCGAGTCGGCGCACTAAAGTGTTGCGACTACTTGCGTGTACTTACGCCATATTTGTATAGGATAGATGTGGATGTCAAGATGTGCCATGTGTTTAAAATCTTTGGTTTTTCATTGGTATCAGTCAAAATGAGTATCTAAATGGCGAAAAAATTAATATATAATATTGTGACTGAGATATAGAGATAAAAATGTAGGACTAGTAGAGACTGAGACAGATAAAATCCGAGCTTTTTTTTACTTGTACAGCTCTGAATCATGCGTAGATTATCATTCGTCGTGTTTTATTTAATTTACCGGCTGTTACTGATGTAATAACTACAAGAAAATAATCATTATAACATCACTGATGATTTTCATGCACTGACGATAATCCAAACAAATCATCTTTAAAATGGGATGTATTTGTTATTTTAAATGCTAAAGTACTAAATTTTCTAAAAAAAAAACATTTCTATATTATTTGTCTCAATTCTCAAGAAGAACATTATGATGAGTATTCAAATGATCTCTCTTAGCGCTCGAGTGTCTGTGAAACAATTAGAAAGTATGCGATGGAGTACCATTTAGACGAGGCAAATAGTGTAGGTGAAAGTGTCGGGTATCTCGAATTAACGATGCAACACTTACTCGTTGATGTAACATTTAAATCGAGAGCTGTGATATCGAGCATTGAAAATTTTTCCTTAAAAAAAAAAAAAAAAAAAAAAAAAATGACCCATTTCGGTGCAACCGTTCTTCGAAAGACACCCGAGATGTTATCTCAAAACAAATCATTAAACTCAACATGTACCACTGATTACAAATCACTCACGAGGTACATGGCTATTCTTTTAGCCGATTATCTAGGGTTCCAAAAAGAAAAAAACTTGGAAAGCCTACTGTGAAAGCTCTGGAGTGAGGTATCGGTATTTCAAAGGAGAAGCGGAAGAAAAAAGTCAAACTCGAGAGATTTCGACCCGGGAAGCAGGTACATCGATTTCTCATGGGCCAAAATATTACTCATGGCCTGCGTCATGAAACGGCCCCCAGCGCAAAAAGAAAAAGGTAAAACCACGCGCAGGACCCCGTCGAGACCAACATGGACACATACGTGTAAGTGTATAAAAAGGTATCGAGAAAAAAAGGACAGAGAGGCAGGCAAGGAAGCCGAAGAAGAAGAAGGAGGCACAGCACACGGCAACGCAGAGGAGCCGCGGCGAAGCAGGGGAAGGAATGTAGCGAATGAGGTCGCTGCCGTTGAAGGCAAACTGCTGCGCCTGCCTTCTCCCTCCTGGCTATACTCGAGCCTATACAACCTATACCTACCTCTCTTTCACGTACACATAAAGCTCCTTCTCTCTCTCCTGGACTCCTGGAGCCATTCTCATTCTCTCTCCCTCTCTCTCTCTCTCTCTTTTGCTCCACCGTGCTTACTAATTCGCCTGCGAGGATCAATGTACGCGTATTATATCCTACGGATATAGATACCGCGGTCTTTCCTCATGTTTGTTATGAGCAGACTGCTAATGCGAGGATTTTCACGAGCTTTTTTTTATTCCGTACTTTTTACCTGACTGTCCAAGAGTTACGACGTCGCATCAGCTCGAAAGTTTATATCTTTTGGACTTTTTCGGGGGGAGGGGGACAAAAGTAACTGTTGTCATAAATCAGACTACATATGACTACGAGCTTCGTGTAAGTTCATCCTCGGTTCATGTCCTCGGCTGTACCCTATACGATTGCTGCAAAAACATTTGCATTCGATGTATCGGTTTGATAATTTCAAGACCGTTTATCGGGAATTAATATGGATGCGTGAAAAGAAATATGTAACAGATGCTTTGTCAAGAGTCTTAAGAGGAAAGTAATCCAATAATCAATCTGTGATGTGAAAATCGAAAGGTTCTTGTATATTCTTACAATTAATTGTGGGGAATGGAGAGCATATTTTTTATATTTCAATTGTAATCGGGAAGTTGTGTCCGGGTACTCGATATTTACCGATGCAACAGTTCATTTTGCAGCTACTCGATTGTATTTTAGAGGTCACCACCAATTGAATATGTCTGACATGAAAAAATTAATCTTTACAATTTGTGGTCGATTATACTTTTAGAAGTATTTGTTACTTTTAACTTAGATTATTGTTTTCTAGCTATTGAAATTGTAAATTTTTTAGTTGATAACTCTTATTAAAGTTTATGATAAGTATTACTTTCATCCTGTTTTAAAGTACAGATTCCAAGAGGTATCACGTAACAGAAAGTTAGCAGTATTAAGGAGATATCTTGGGTCGGTAAAGTAAGCCCGATTTTTGTTGGTCGCTGGTTTTGTTTGTATCTACATTATTGTCAATTCTCAGAACTAATCAAAGAGGTCACCATTAACTTCAATAATTTATTTTACATTACCTTATTCTCAAAATGTTTTTGATTTTTCACGTCTTCTCTTTTGCAGTTGTAAAAAGAAATTAATTATTTTACAGTTTACTACGGTCATTCTTTTTTTTGTAACTTAGCATCATTTTCATGAATTATCTGCATTATTTTATCAACGAGAAAAATTAACACGCCTTTTTTACATTTATCAATTTCATTGATGGGCAGCATCCAGTAAATCAAAACTGTGGTTTACAAATACGTATTCAGATTCGCAAACTGCATAAGGAGTTGAAAAATGTCCGGAATTTTACGTAAAAAGACTAAAGTCAAACGAAAAAAATAACTTTTGAAAAACTAGTCAAACAGTACTTATTTGTTTTGGCATGTATCGTTTTGTCAAACTTTTTGGTAAAGGATGTCTGAAAGTGAGCTTAAAGAAAATACAAACATTTCCAGAATCCTACATGCATCAAATAAATTAACTACTTTGGCTATATTTACTGAATAGTATTTACAATGAAAAGCATACGTTTCCAAAGAGCAAAGTAAAAATTTTTTATGATGATAAATTTCGATTTATCGTACATGTAAATCGACAGTCAGAAAATGACACTTGAACAGAATCACAATCTTTATTGGTCCATCATTTCGTTGATATTTATCTCAACAGAAATTAGGTATCTAAGAGGTGCAGAAAGCACAAGAAGTTGCAAGTACAATGTTACGTGTTACATGTTGCAGATTATTTTAAATTGTTGATTTACATGAACTCCAAGTTAAGGAGACAAAGCTAAAGCTTGATACGAAAAGTGAACTTTTCACGAACTATTAAAACTTAGTAGTCAAAGGACTATTTGAGTTTGAAACGTAATGACAAACTATATTAAATGAAAATCCCCATCTACGCGATTTTATTCAGAATCTTTCATTGATGCTACCTCAAAAAATCTAATAAATCAAATAAAAAGTTATTAAAATATCCAGCATTAACTTTCCTCGAAATTCATCACTCCTTGACGAAGGAAATCCTGCCCAACTCGTCAGTCGACTTTCTCATAACGTATGTCATGTATCTCGCCTACTCTATTCCAGAACTTTACCTCGACCTTACAACTACTGCTGCCCTTCTTTGGATTAGTTTCTGATTTCTATCGAGCATCCCACTTCATCCTCCGCCTTCAAGCAGTTGACCATACGGTCGCAGCGACTGCTGTCAGAAAGGCAGCGGGAATAGGGATCGCTGCATTTGAAATCTGGACATTTTGAGCGTGGCTTACGCAGTGCTGTTGCATTCCAGCTTTGATCTGTTTGGACATGAGAGGCAAACCACGAAGAGCCGTTTTAAGTTGAAATATAGATGATTACGTGTTAGATTTAAAGGTAACGTATATCGCTTTGATAAATAGGAGCAAAGTATGAATATAAAATAGTTGCAATGTTGTTTGATATCGTGAGCTTACGCATAGTGTCATTTATCCACTTGACGTAGTAAGACACCTTCGTGTAAACTCCAAGCTCCTTCGGTCTCGCGCAACCGATGCCGTAACTGACGATACCAGCGATGTACCACGTATCATTCGACTCAGACACTCTGTACGCAAAATAATTTTGTATTCCTATGTATGAGCCAACTTGTTGTGCAGTACCTGTATTGTACAGACCTGCAAAATAAAGGACCACCACTGTCCCCCTGACAGGCGTCTTTTCCACCTTCCACGTATCCTGCGCATATTTTGGAAGAAATTTTGTCCTCTTTGCGCGTGCACTTTGCTATTGGTACATCCACTTCTTGTAGTTCGTCGGCTGAAAAAGAATCAATGGATCAAAGCTTATCAATGCATTCTAAAAATATTCTTCAGAACTTTAATAAAAACAATTTTTTTTTTTTTTTAATGCTTCAATCTCGACTTTGAATATTTTGAGAAGTAGTTTTAAAATTAGCAAAACTGTACTAAAACGAAAAAGACTGTGTTATTCCAAAGAATGTCTAGACTTTATTTATTCATATACTCTATAAGGTATTAACGCAATGTTTAGCCATCGGCAACTTTTTGTGGTACTTGGCAAAAAAAGGGCCGAAAGAATTAGAGGATTACTTTTTTGTCTCGCCTTTTGACTCCAGAAAAGTGACTTTTACTTCACCCCCGTATTTTTTTACGTAAGACGTACAGAGTCTCTGTTTGTTCATTAAGGTAAACAACTAATTATTACACGCTTTTTATCTCGGTTAGTTTATCTTGGATAAATTGGGATCGATAAAGTGCTCAATTAGTTGATTTAATTTTACATGCAGTTGATGTGAAAAGCCACGGATCAACATTATTTTGAAATCTAATTAAAATCAGTATGAAATTGGATTTTTTATTTGCTTGTAATACTTTTTGATATTGCACAGTACTATATTTTTCTATGAAAAGGGGGAGAAAACATTTGTTTACTAAGCTATTTTTAAAACCAAGAACTTCATTATTGGAAATATCAGGATTGAGTTTCTGCTTCTATTTAAATATCACGTATGATAATATTGCTTATATAATGTAAGCAAAATATGCGACATTCAGGCCATTAAGAAACTCATTTAGTATTTTTTCCTTGAAACGTAAAATATGTCTGTACGTATGAAGAAAAGACTTTCGTTTTTTAAAAATCAAAGAAATTCCGCAATGGTCCCTAATCAATAGAGAAATTGAAAAATTTTGATTTGAATGCCTTAACATCCTGTTAAATTCATCATAATCAAGTCTATCGCCTTACGGTCAGGTCCGCCTTCCCAAGTGGCACCCCAACCTACTGCTGTGCAAATAGTTTCAGGAGCAGGCTGGCCTTTAAATTGTCCGACATCACTCTTGGGCAGTAATATTGGCCGAACCCAACTGTTATAATTCAGGGGCTCATTCAGCTGCAGTAAAGCAATGTCGTTCTTTATGAGATCTGCGTTGTATTGTGGATGAATTTTTATACAGATGGGCCGTCGAATTTGAAGGGTCGCCGGGAAGGAGAAGCGCCGTGGCACGCCGACCTCGATTTCGTAGTAGTAGTAAATATAACTGAAATTTTCGATGCATAAATCTCGTTGAATCAACTCTTCAAGCTCGTTTTTAAAATAACAAAAAATGTGACGTTTCATTAACTGTCATCAATCACATATAGAAATAAAAAAATTTTCTCCATAAAATGGGAAATTTACGAGATGTACGTGGGTAGGTATGAATATTTGTACCATCCATTGTTTGTCATAATTATACGAATAGTCAGTTCTGTGGTTTTGAAGAACATTCGTAAACGTCTAATCAAGATACACATTTTTCGTAGATATTTTCCATGAAATTTTTTCCTACATGATCAAATAAACAAAAATATGAGTTTGGCTGCAAATTTTTCATTTTATCCGATCTAGAGCTTGCTTTTGATACTTGGCTGTGCAAAAAAGGCATTTGGTACGAATAAGTCAACCATGATGCTAAAAACTGTCTTGATTACATTTAAAATAACACTTATTTAAAATAATAATGTACTTATCCCAAAACTCTCACCCAACCATGCAATGGGCTGCGGTTAGAACCCAGGACTGAGTCAGCACAGTTCCACCACAGATAAACTTTCCATTCCTCGTCATATAGACGACAAACGGCCAAGACCTGAGTGGACTCGTCCTCCCACCGACAATACCCAGCATCGGATCGCCGGAGCTTGCAAGCTCGCTCGAGTTCCTGTGCCTCGATCCGACGAGGGGATCGTCGATCAATGGTAGACGCGTGCCGCTTGCCACTTGGGGACACTTGGCATACGTTGTACGATTGAAACAGTGAGCTACTTTGGCTCCGGACGCTCCTAGATACGGACCTTCCATCGCTTGCCCCATTGGGATTGGGGGCATCTCGAGATGTGGCAGGCTATTTTACAAGGATTTTAAAATCTCAAAACTTTTCGTCCGTGTGTTTGTGACATTTACTACCACATTGTAGGTACATTTCACTTTTAATATTCATCAAAAGCTACGTGTATGGTAAAGAAAAAAAAAATGACAAAGTTTAATAAAAATAAAAACGTAAAATGTCACAAACCTGATGGATCCGATCTCAGAAGAGCACGCCTCTTTGGCCCAATCGTACGCGAAGCCGCAGACTGGGTACCACCGGCCGAACGAGTTCCTGTACAGAAAGCCACTGCTGTAGCCAACTCGGAAAAGCTAGACAGTAACAAGAAAAATCCCTTTTTATTGTCCTGCTATGATCCTTTTGAGGACAATATTAAAGCTCTCGAGCCCCCTTGGCTGGTGAGCTTTTACGCGCTATAAAAATAGACGAAGCGGACCTCCTCTTTTTCATTACTGTCAGCCGCTGACAAGCTTAATATGCTGCAGTCCTTCTCGTCTTTTCCATTGGTGCATTGTCTACGTCCGTCGCAGCGCTCCTTTGCTCTGAAGCAGTTTGTGCTGTTGTCTTTCACGCCCGGCTGGGGATCAAGAGCTGCGTCGATGTTGCAGTGCAACGAATCCTTCGGGCAGCCTTGGAAGGGAAAAGCACATTATAGACCCGTCGTACGGAATTAGGAAAAAATTGATTTTTTCTGAAATGAACTTTTATTTGAAAGAAGGTCTTTAAGGAAATCAAGCGCGTTATCTCTGCGAAAAAAAAGGTTTTTTTTCCAGTTTCTTTGAATACGCTGTGCGAGTTGTTTTTCTTTATCTTTTAATTGAAAGAAATCGAGATGTAAGCGTTTACTGTTAGAGGTGATGCACTTTTTTCTTTATTTCCATACACTACCTTTTTTGTTCATGTAACTATAAAAAAAAAGTCAACTTAAATAACGATGTAACGTCATAACGAATTCCAAACGTGAAATCCGAAAAGAATGAACGATGTGCCTATCGAATAGATTTTAAATCAATTATTGGTGTAGAAAAATTTGTTTTCCATGTAACCCCAGTTAATAAAAGTAGCGCTTTCATTATGTACACTCGGTTCGAAGTTCATACAAAAAAATTTTTTAAAAAACTTTGAGAAATTGCAAATAAATTTCGGATGAAAAAAGCCGTACCGAAACAGCCAAGCTCGTCCTCTTCCAGTGGACAGTCGAAGTAGCCATCGCAGACACGGTCCTTGCGAATGCGGTCCCTACAGGAGCATCCCGCCTCATCGCTCGCGTCCCCACAGTCGACGACATTGTCGCACCACCTTGATTTTAAAACGCACTGCTTACCACTTGCACAGCTCGTCGAGCTAACGGGACACTGAGCTGAAAAAAAAGAGATTCATTTTTCCAACATCATCCACAGCGACTTCAGACACAATTTAAGGTCACAGAAGAAGCTCACCCCCGATTCTTAGATCAGTCAAAGCTCTGTCGAGCGGAAGGTCGTTCGTCTTTCGGGCCTCGGGATAAGTCAGCGGTAGTACTGGGAGGTAAGCGCAATTGATGGGCAAATTTTCTCGTGGTTGCATCGGTAATCCGGCCAGCTGGCGCGGCTGGAATGCGAAAAAGGCCGGAAGGAAATAGGTTGGGCGCTGCTGTTGGGATTGAACGTGGCCCTGATTCCCAGCGGGGAATGTCGTCACTGTGGGAATTTAATTTGTTGGTCGAAGGGAAGCAGAAGAGCGGGGAGAAATACGCATGGACGGAAAATCGATGGAACCGGCGTTGAATAATTTAAGGTGCGAGCTACCAAAATGTGCGCTCTGTCGTCTGTTGTTTTGGAATGTAATGAAGGATTAACAAAATCAAGGTTGGACACGACTGCATTTGTATCAATGATTTTTTTTTTTTTTTTTTAATATTATTATTATTAAAAATTCAGAGGGCAAGTGTAGCAAAAATAGAGAAAAATTGATAATCAACCGTACCCTTTCCCGAGGACTGACCCTCTGTCGCGTCTGTTGTGGAGTATATACTTATGCCAGGACTTTCTTGCACTTGGCGTTTCATCCGAATGCCTCGATAGCGCGGCTGGTGAACTGGACTCGAGCTGTCGAGCTGTGAATTTCGCCGTTCACGATTGATGCTTCGGTGTCTCACGAAACGTATCGCGTTTCCACCTGTAAAAATAAGTAACTTTTTTAATGTACCTCACACCATGTATTTTATAAGATTTTCAACAGTGAAAAGTCGATGTGCAATGGCTACAGGATGCGTTATATTTTACAGCTTTTGAAGCACTGATTCAGTTGTTTTTACAAAGTTTACGTCACATTTTACAATACGATACGACATGCTAGCGTGTCAAAGGCGCGTTTAAAGCCTGCAGTGTAAATTCTTGTTTTTAAATAAAACACGTATCGTACAAACAACTCAATCAATTATAAACCAAATATTTGCAAGTACAACGAAATGGAGTAATTTTCCTGAAATGATCTATACAAGAAGCTGGTAGAGCTTTCTTGTGGCAACATGAGAGAAAATATTATTTGATTTGGTATGGTTAGTAAAATGTTAATTAGACATCGATTTTGTTGTTTTTTAAAATTTTTTACTAACATTGCTGTAACGCATTTTAAAAACAGGAGGAATTCAAACTGTACGCTGTTCAAGTGTAATTTATGATATTTGAATTCACTTCGTATACTTGGGTGTATATACCTGTCTGGAATGAGCTGAACGTTACGAAGATGCACAAAATAATGCAGAGAACGATAAACATCAGCGATAAGTCGCATATTTTGCTGCTTCGATTTGCCATTATTAGAATTCAATTCACTAATTGGGTATTGGAGAAAACTCGATACTTTCAGTTTTCGTGCGAGCCAACGCGTCAAGCTGTTTATTGTAAACTGATCGCGCATGGAAAGTTTGCCGCTCCGTTCGAGAAGCGTCAAATTTTTCGGAATAAGCAGTTTTTCAGCAGTGGAGCATCATGTAACATTTTTCATTTAAAATTCCATCGCCGTGCTGATGTCGCATTGTCAGTAAGTTGTGTTTTCAAGACATAAGGGAAACAATATTGCCCTCTTGTATCCTCTTTGCACTTTTTATCGTACTATTGATGGAAAATTTACGTTCAAGGCCTATTTTAGAGTACTTAATTATTTTTGTCGAACAATTTCCCGAGACGGGAGTAGCCATCGATGGGGGTCGCTATTGGGAAAATTGTGAGAAAATTGTATATCAAACGGAAAATACGGGATTGCTCGATTTTCTCGTCGACATTGACGTCCAAAGAGATTTTCATTCAAATTGTGCGAGATTTGAGTATTACGAGATTATAGTCTCATAGTGGTAAAAATATCGAGTGTCTCATTTATATTTAAATCAGTAAGAGCTTTTCAATTCCGTGTACATAACAACGATTCAGAAAATAAATTAATGGTTCTTTTTAAGAAATTAAAAATTTCAATCAAAATTTATCTGTGGATAACGTGACCATTTACATTTGGCCACTGCTAATGCTTACAAGTGTGTATGAGGAGCGCATTGTTTTCTTTTATATTGTAAAAACTTCGTTTAGAGTTAAATGCCAGCTTATGAAATATTCATTTGTCTTCGGTATTGAGAAGTGGTGAGATTACGTCTTTGCGAAATTATACCTTTTTTTTCAGGTCCTGAGTTGCCAAGTTTCAATTGGATAAATAAGTCAATAGCATCTGTCTTGTATTCGCAACCATAGAGCTTATTCGGAGGTGTGCGTACGTAGAAATAGAAGAGTCTTGACTGGAATTGATGTATTGCCACTTGAAAAAGTCTCGTGTAAAGTTTTAAGCCCGTTCGTTTCGGAAAATTTATGGCTGACACGAGCCAAGGCTACAAGAAATTGTAGAGCTGATCAATACTTTGCATTCGCAACTGTATGTGACTATTCACCAATGGTATTGACAATGTATGTGCTTAAATTTTTAGCCCAACACATTTGACAATACATAATTTCTTATTAATTCGTGCAATATATTAATCACGGACTGAAATATTTTTAGAGTTTTAAAGCATGACGGTTCCACAGTAGTGTCTCATGTCTTTGCCAAATATTTTTATGTATGAGGAAATATTTATAAACCAATGTAGCTATAGTGTCATAAAAGACAAAGTTCGACAACAGTCCCGAAGATTGTAGCACTCAGTTTTTTTTTTTTTTTTGTAACTTTTTCAGTTGACATTTTAAGTTTTCTTACTCAGTCAAAAAAAATTTTTGTTGTAGAAAAAATATGACCAATACAATATAATAATGTTGACAACAAATACAGTTTTACAGTAAAACTTAAGTGAAAAGTTATCAACAACATTGATAACCGTCGCAATACCTACAATAAATAATTTGAATATTCCATAGTAACCACGCGGCTGAATTTTGAATTTTTTTATCCGTCGAAATAAATCCAATACAAACTACACGGTGATCCTCAAAGGCACGAGACGAGAATACCAACGCCTGAACGAGAGGCGCAAGCACTGCAGATCGGAAATCGTTACGCTGTATCACTGTGCCACGAATTTGCACAGCTGCTCAACTTTTGGATGGAGCGTGTAACTTGGGCTTATCAAGTGCGCACATAGTACATCTGGCTCGTTTTCTTCACTGATTCGACTTAAAAACTCTCCCTGGCGAGTTTAGCTCCATCCAAGTATCGGCAATTTAATCAACTTTCGTACCGGTCCACTGATCCGCGTATGACCGTGATGTCCGCCAAAAAAATCCACCGCTCGAAATGATTTCGTTTCTTTTTTGTTTATCGACATGACGCCCGCACTCGCGTGTAGGTGAAAAATTGTGTAACATGCATTGGCCGACGAGCCAGTCTCCCTCGCTTTCTCCAAGCGCGTATATACGATATTACGTGCGCTCGCGAGCCGAGCCGATTCACAAGGGGCCCATGGCCAGTCTTCGTGCCAGCATCGGTATGGACACTCGCTGATAAAGCTTATTATTTTCTTTGTTGCCTCGCACACGTGCGATTCTCCTCGACGTTGACTCTGTTGCTTCCGTTTTCCACAGTTTAAATGCTGTTGAAGGACAGTGTACTCCCAAGTAGCGCTGTTGTTTCTTCGAAAGTGCTAATAGCAGTGGCGTGCGTTGCGTAAAAGTATTGATATGAGGATCGGCTATTAGATAGATCTCTAGCAGGCGATCACTCTCGATCGTACACGGCTATAGTGTGCGTGTCGGTGGAAAAGTGTCGTTCGTTTGATGAAAAAAAGTAGTGCGTGACGAGGTGCCGGTCTCGATTGTGACGTTTATCATGTAGTGCAGTTTTTTTTTTTATTCCTTCCAACCGAAAGATTTCTCTATGCAGGATGCGAGGGGATTTCCGCCCACGTGTCCGTGCGTCCGAGTCAATTGGTCGTTGGTTAGAATGAAATCTGCATCAAAATCTAGGCCGAGCTGACATTGCACGATGGATTTTACTTTACTCGCCATGGGAGGGAAAATTACCCATCCTACTGTGATGCCGGTACTCGCGATGCCCTCCCACTAGCCGCATCGGGTGACTCGGCGGTGAACGTGTAACATGGAGGAGTTTCGCTTTACGTTTTACTATGGTAGAGGTGAGGGTATCTTTTTTCATTGTATTTCGATCGCGTTACGCTTTATCTATTTTATATCAGTGACGAGCATGGGATTTTGAAAATGACACTCGACTTTTTATACATTGTTTTATTGAAACATTGATAATAATTTTTTGTACACGAATGTTTTCTGTTAATTAAGTTTTTGAAATTATAATTTACTTAAAAGACACATCCTGTATTCTGTTTTATTGAGCTACTCATAACGGTATAAAGGAAACATTGTTTACATACTTTCTGTCGATGACGAGGCTACGTGTCACTCGCAAGGTGGTATCTGACGCTTTAACATCTTGCGAGGTACACGTAAACGTGGTTAACGATTTCATTTGTTTTCAGAGTTTTTACTTGATGAGGCCTTTGTTATCTGGCTACTAGATTAATTAACTTGATGGCATCACCACTTGAATTGTGATTTCTCTAATCGTTTAAGCAGATTTTATCGAGAAATCGGTAAAAGTACGGGGAAAATATGACTGCGCACAGCCAAAACTCATTTATGTTTATAAGTCTCTCGCGAATCAGTACAAGCCATTTAGGAAGCACCACTCAATATGCGCACATGAATAAATACGCTTCTTTTCAGTTACTCCTAACGGTATATCCACAAAACGAGCTCGCGTTTGTAAAAAACGGCCTACACTGTCTCGCCATCGATGCTGTCCCTGATGATGATTGAAAAATCGCGTGCGTCAGCAAACTTTGCCATAAAATTATACAAAAATACGGCAAAATCGTACGATGTGATAAATATTTCACTGTCGACAAATCAATGTCACATCGTACACAAAATAGACTTACAAAATTGTATATTTATTTTTTTATATCTGTTGTATAAATTACAAAACGAGTACTACTTTTTTAAGCAACAATACCATTAACTCACCGTATAGCTCAGCGAATCAACTGGACACTTTAAAGGAACTTTATACAGTGCAACCTAACTCTTCTCGAGGGGGAAAAATAGTTATATTCACACTCCCAATCACTTCTTTTTCATTGGCCGAACGTGCGTTTCGATCTGTTGGGTAAATGTATATATACTCTTTGTCTTGGAAAGAAACATGTACCTCGTATCACATATACCTTGGCTGATATAAAACAGTGCGCCTCGTGGCTCTGTTATTTCGCATTACAATCTGCAGCTATATGGAGCCTATAATTCCCCATCACGCTACTCGGGTTTTCCCTTTCTCCAGCAAAGATAACGAGCTACGTTATTTATTTCTTCAGAGACAAGCGGGCTTGCATTTTTTTTTCTTTTTGCGAATACGTGCACGAGCAAGGGAGAGTTGTGCGGAAGGAAGTGACGAGGTGGTGATGATTTCGACTGTCATTTTTCTTCTCGCTCTCTTTAATACGAATTATATCCTTCCCTCCGTCTTCCCTTTATTTTTCTCTATGTCTGTGAGTTAAATTTAAGCTTATTAAATTTCGCACCATCATCGAAGCATAGCTGTATTTGATCACGTCGGTAAAATCAAAATAATTACATAGGTAGGTGTCCCTTTTTTTCGCTACTTTCGATACCATATTCTACCATACCATACCGATTACCATATCCAATTTGCTTAGCAAATGTCCTAACGAATTTCAAAGAAAAAATCTTTGTCAGCGGCTGTTCACATTGAAATAGGAGGCAAAAAAGAGATCAACTCGACGATAGCGGCAAGGTCGAGGTTGTAAGGGGAACAACGATCTTGTTAGCCACGGCAAAAGGTCGAGCGGAAAAAGTCCAGTCACGTAATTATCGAAGCATGAGCACACGTGTACTGGCCGTTGAATGTATAATACTTCCTATTCATGTTTTTTTTCTTCCTCCAAAAGTGCAGTGTCTCTTGCTTGGGCGCGTATGCGAATTCTGTAAATCCGTATGAATAAGTCTCGCTGTTATCGATATGCGTGTCAAGTGCTTCAACATCCAAGGCTGCCTCCGGCAACCGAATAATATACCGAGGTCCGCTTGCTCTTCCGCCTCTTCATTGTGTTTTTTTCTCATTCGTATCCAACCGCCGAGGCTTGGAGTTTGCGAGCCGTTCGTATACGAACTTCTTTTTAATGTATCGATATACGCCCTGAGAAAGTAATTATTGCCGCAGTTGCGGATATTCCTTCTTTTTATCCCTCGTGGAAGGAAATTGGAGGTTGCCGGAATGGCGCATTGTAGTTGCGTTGATTAGACTGATACGTCAAAAAAATCTGGGATTGTATTTTTTATTGGAATTCACAAACGCTCCAAGTATTTTTCTGTAGTTCTGAAAAAATTTCCACCCTGTCTACGGAGATTTTCACTTTTTTTAGGCCAGGAGTGAAAATTTCACATACTGGTTGAAATTTCTTGTGCATTTCTGTCGAAATATTATTTCAGGTTACGCACGATGCTGGAATTTCATCCGCTTTTTTTTTACATACATTATGAGAAATGAGACAAATTCTAGTTTTTTTTGTGACGTTTATCATGTAGTGCAGTTTTTTTTTTTATTCCTTCCAACCGAAAGATTTCTCTATGCAGGATGCGAGGGGATTTCCGCCCACGTGTNTGCGCAGCACTTCGAAAATTAAACACGAAGGAAAGAACAGTATTTTATTAACACGCAACCGAGTAATAATTAAACGCAGACCCAAGGACTGCCGTTCTTACGATTCTTTTTAAAACGCGTCATTAGCACTTGTCGTGCCGATCTACGGGAACGGCTTTGGCGCTGTTACCACCATTATTATTATTATTATATACATGACTATATCACTTCGGTATAGCGAGTCGAGCGCGCGCACGTGCGCGAATTGCGTTCCGCCTCGATGGCTTCATCTCGTTTGCTCGAGTATCTCTCAGCTGCGCGAACTTTCGTACCGATAAGTATAAAAGGATGTATCACGTGCGTGGGTGCGAATCACAAACCAGCCCGACAGATGTACTTGCTCTCATGGTTCATGCGTGTAAGTGTGGTATTTAATACAATATCATAACTTAAACGTATAGTGTACCATAAGACACAGTCTCGTCTAGTTATTTTAAAATATTTTAAAGCAACGCAACCTTCAGATGCAATTAAGTTTAAGATTTTCATATTTTTAAAAATAGAAGTTCGAAATCCTTAGTTACCAAAATTAAATATGTTTTTAAGAGAACCCCTCTTCAGGTATAGACGTAAGAAAACTAAATCAAGGAAAAATTAAAAGTTTGCGTACTATAGAAATTATATTAAAGACATGTGATGTATGTTGTGGTTATGAATATTTGCACATGCGGGAAAACGTGAAAAGAGAAATCGTTTATCGTACAGCTTGGTGGTAAGTTTCACATTTTCATTTATTGATTTATGTTGAGTGTTTACATATGTACTGTTAAAAAAAAAAAAGAATTCATAGAGATTTACTAGGGAAGTAAAATTATTTTCAAATAAATACTTGTTTGCACGTTTTCTAGTGGTTATGAAAAAGTTATTAGTTCATAAAAAACATTATAAATAACATCATGATCTTAATTTTATTTCCTTACCGGATTCATAAAAAATTAAGGATAATTAGCAGATTTCTAGCACTCTTCAAAAAGAAAAATTCATTCTGACAGTGTTTAGACAAACATTCACTTCACAGCAATAAATTCGATTAGTAGCCCTTGTTTTGCTAACCCATGATATTCTATTTCAGAAATAGTTAATCAATGGATAGACCATTTGATGAGATTGATAATGAATCACAAAACATATAAACGATTAAACGATGCAAGTAACGTTTATTTGAAAAAAAAAAAAAAAAAAAAAATACATTCATATCAGTCCCTGATTAACGTGACAAAGTTTGTTTGATCAGTAACTCATAAGATACGAAAATATTCCTACAATGATGCACATAGTAAACATATACTTCTATACCAACTGTTTTCAGTATGAACTCACTGTCAGTATGATTCACCGAAGACCAATCACACTTATCCTGATGGCGCATTCAAAACCTCATATTGAGTTAAATGCCACAGTAAGCTCTGAATTTCCCATTAATTGTACTTGGAAAGCTACAGGCGCAAGCTGATACCGAAATCATGACGCCATGCCATCCACGATATTAGCCATTTACATTCATTGGTCATTGAAAACCCGCTGATCGCGACAGCGAGTACTAATTTAATCCTATACTCGCTTGAAAATACACCAATGCAGCAGGGTCGAGTAAAAAACTGTACATCGATTCCACAGGCATGCGAGGAGGTGGAGAGGGACGCTGGGTTATATGCATTGTTCCATGCCGATCACCGAAGATACCAGTGCATACACACTGCATCATTGCAGATTGGCCAGTTCCTGCCCAAGTATATAGGTATAGGTAGTTCTCACGGGGACCGGTGAGCGAGTGTTGTATACGGACCCTCGACAGTACAGAGAAAGGAGATCGAATGCTGGGGTTCGTGTATAATACAACATGTATAAGTATATACGCTTACAAGCGCGAAATGAGCGAGCGAGAAAAAGAGCGCCACAAAACAGAGAGAGAGAGAGGGAGAGAGGGGCCCTCCTTTCCTCCCCCTCTTGCACTGCAAGTCTTTGCCACTGGCTCCTCTCTTGCTCTCTTAGTTTCTCGTTTATCCTATGCGCCGCACTCTATATACTCGCCACCGCGTGTCTGCAGTCTAACTTTGGAGCTGACCGGGACGCCGCGAGTGTTTTTTGTGCGATAGATCGGTAAGGCCGTTTGTTTTTCACTTTTTGTCGGTGTTTGATGAAACCTGTTGGGTATCGGTTAAACGAGAATTTTTTCATTTTTTTTTTTTCGCAAAATCAGGCGTTGTTGGTAAAAATTTTATGGTATTTTGTAACTCAAAAAAAAAAAAACTGTTGATCAAAAGGAGGATGCGGTGCATAGCTTCGGTTAGAAGAAGCAGCTCGAGCTCGGTGATGTCTTTGTGAGTTACTATACGAGAGGCTCTGACTAGCTTTCGAGTAAGTTGGACTGTTTATTTAATTTTTTTTTTCTCTGATGTGCGTGTATTGTTTTTTTTTTTTTTTTTATTTCAATTGTTACTAGTTGTTAGATGGTGTTGTGGATTGTATTGATTATATTGTTGTTTTTACGTTTGATAGGTTTGGAAAAAAAAAAAAAATAATAGTTTGAGAGCGAGGAATTTTCACGCCAAACGACCCAAGTCTCGAGTCGATGCTAGTTCCGTCACTTGTAATGTCTATCTTTCGAAACGGTTTTCCTCCTATTTTTTTTATTTTCAACCAAAGACTCGGCTCTAACGCCAATAATAAATAAATAAAACGCCAGAGGCGATAGAGTTGTTTCTCAAGAGACTCACTTTCAAAACTCGCGACTACTTTCATCGCTAATTATCGTTCCGAAATTCCTGCATCACACAAAGCACTTTTCCCGGCCAATCGAGCTCTTTGACGCGCAAAAATTTCAAGGACCCTCCAAAGGGAAAGTCACGAGCGCACTCGCCCGTAAAACAAGAGCAATAAAAAAAAAAAAAAAAAAAATGCTCGTACGTTTGCTCACATAATCTCTTTGACTCTGGCGTGAATGTCGCGAGACAGGTGTAGAGCGAAGTGGCAGCATGAGCCATCAATTAGAAGCGCCATTTCCACTTGGGGCTCACCTCGACAGATGAGGGATGCTCGCTGATTTAGAAATCCGAGAGAAAGCGCCCTGTAATTCATCCGCCGGCTAATTTCTGTGAGAAATTTTGAAATCCGAGTCTTTTCCAAGCCAACCTGCGCAGCACTTCGAAAATTAAACACGAAGGAAAGAACAGTATTTTATTAACACGCAACCGAGTAATAATTAAACGCAGACCCAAGGACTGCCGTTCTTACGATTCTTTTTAAAACGCGTCATTAGCACTTGTCGTGCCGATCTACGGGAACGGCTTTGGCGCTGTTACCACCATTATTATTATTATTATATACATGACTATATCACTTCGGTATAGCGAGTCGAGCGCGCGCACGTGCGCGAATTGCGTTCCGCCTCGATGGCTTCATCTCGTTTGCTCGAGTATCTCTCAGCTGCGCGAACTTTCGTACCGATAAGTATAAAAGGATGTATCACGTGCGTGGGTGCGAATCACAAACCAGCCCGACAGATGTACTTGCTCTCATGGTTCATGCGTGTAAGTGTNTGCGTTCCGCCTCGATGGCTTCATCTCGTTTGCTCGAGTATCTCTCAGCTGCGCGAACTTTCGTACCGATAAGTATAAAAGGATGTATCACGTGCGTGGGTGCGAATCACAAACCAGCCCGACAGATGTACTTGCTCTCATGGTTCATGCGTGTAAGTGTAATCGGTACGTGATTTCTGGAGTTAAGACGTAAAGTTGTACGCGACCACTGAATAATACATTTTCGAGAGGCTGTACGCTCGGGGGAGATTATTATTAGAACTCGCTCGTTTTTGTCGATCTAGCCATAAGCGTGTCGGAAGAGAAATACCGTCAATCAGTCAGTCATAGCTATTATTAGTACTGTAGAAACTTGTAGAAAAAAGCCGCAGTAGGTGTAGGTTTGCTCGTCATGAATATTGTTAGTTGGAGGAAGAGAAGAGGACAACTTGGTTATGAGTTGTATGGAAAAAAAAAGATTTCTTGAGGCATTGTAAGATGGTACAAGGTTCTCTGAGAAAACTTACCATTTTTATCAGTTTATCGTGGGAAAGCTCATACCATTGGGCAACTGTTACATCTTGCAGATGCTCGTGACGCGAAGACCGACTCTCGTTATTAAGTAGTTTGTTTATTGCACGATTCCAAATGAGAGTGAAAATCTAATTGTTTTCAGTTTCTGAAAACATCGCAGCGAAAATAAATGATTTTTTCAAAATGGTAAAAAAAAAAAAAAATGCACCATATGGTGATTAAAATTTCATTCGTTTACCACATAGTTATAGAAATAAAGCAATACCAGCGATGGATGGCACTTTGTGGAATCACTGACATGTACATACCATGTTTATGAAGTTGAAACGAATTAAATGGAAACCAAACTCAGAACTCGTGTGTACCTAAACAATGAATAATGTCTTCTTGCGAATACGCGGATACAGAGACATTGTCTACAACTTGCGCGCAGATAAACACAGGGAAACACCGAGGACAACTGCAGTGCTTTATGCATTAGCAGCACAGATTTAATTCTGACTTTGTCATGCAAAGTACGCATGCACGTAAAACACATAATCTTTGGTGGTTCTTAGCGCTCACTCGTTCCCTGATAACCAAGGATTTACTCGTCACAAGCATGCACGAGGATATAGAAATGGCTTTCATGCAGGAAATTATAATCGTTAGGATCGATTCGTTGTTGTCACAATATATTTGTACATATGATCGTTAGCAAAAATGGCAGAACTGTCGATTAAGAATATGAAAGTTTTTATGTTTGTAGGATGTTTTCGTCGAAATTTTACTACCGGCGTGAGTTTATCCTATTCATATGCATAAATTTGTGTCGTAAAGAATATTTTGATGAATGTAGGTGTGGGTCTTGCATCTGTTTGGTAGCAGAAAAAAAAACTGTTTTTAAGAAAAAAGATTGCGTGTTGATTGTCTACTTTGATTAATTTTGAATTGAAATTTTATGATGTTGTGGGACGGGTTTTTGTTTCATTCTGATAAAAACTTGAAAATCAGATAATGATGCGAAATCATTTGTTTACCAAATTACAAAAAAAAAAAAGTTTGATTCACTGTGAAAAAATATAAATAACTTTTGATGGTAATTCAGATGCAATAAAGGACTAATTGGAATCACTCTTTACTACCATACGTTTTAAATCAACGCTGATAAAGTTCATGCATGTAAGTTTAATTTGATTGCAAACAATCTATCAACTAAAGCTTTTAGCTAAAGCCATTCAAAGCCTTTACCGGTCGTAAACATTAAATATCGTAAGATAAATAAAATTGAAGACTATTTGTTTTTGTTATTAATATTGACATCCAGATAAAGTTACGTATGAACTCTAACAAAAAATAAATAAAATTGATAAACTTTCAAAAGTAAAAAGAAATTTCCTTTTAAAACTGATCACATTCAAAGTGAAAAGCAATGTATCAATTTCACATATTTTTCTGAGAAATTTTTTAACTATCATTTTTAGTTGCCTCGTACTTCGTTAAAAAAAAATTAATTACAACTTTTTTTCATTGGTTCTTTTAAAACATTTCAATCGAATGTTTCTCACGTTTCAAAAAAAAGAAAAAATCCCAAGCGTAAGAAAAATTAAATTTAAATTAAAAATCATATCAAAAATAGTAGTTTTCCTACGAGTTTGAAAAGTCTCTGTTTGCGAACCGAGAGGTTTGCGGCCCGAGCCGAAGGCGAGGGACGTAACGAGGTTCGTAAAGGAGACTTTTCGAACGAGTTCCGGAAAACTGCTTTTTCGCCGGAGGAAGTACTAGCCTCCCAAAACCACCCGAGGGCGGAAAAGTAGTTTTTTTTTCGTTTTGGTTCAAATTGATACCACCAACAAGCGATAATCATCACTTGGAAAAATTTATTACGTCTGTTGAATTAACGCTTCTTATATTAGAGTTGTCTTCACCAATCACAAGGGATCATAAAATAAATTCAATACTCCAGATAATCATCGAGTAATTACAACTCAGCCTTCCCCAATGATTACGATTGTTTTCACGTTTAGTCTAACAACGTATTCATCGACCGACACGACCATTGATTGATCAATTGAAACTAATACCCAAGAACAAGGGAATGATCAACTCTCTCGAATCAACCTCTTGTGGACCTTCCACTAAATAAATGGTAGGTCTGGCGCAGTCGGCGTTACGTCAGATAATGTATATTACATGAGAAAGTTCAGCAATGCGTTCAAGGTTGGGGTCGAACAGTGCGTGCGTGTGTGTGTGTGTGTGTGTGTGTGTGTGTGTGTGTACCTACAGTTAATAGTGATCTCGAAATACACAGTTACATTAAAAATTCTACTAATATATAGAATTTTATACCTTGGTGCATATGTGCTACAAATTTAACTTGCAGCTCTGAGCAGAGAGGGAAAATTTTTTCTTTTTCTTTCGTTCCCAAAAGGCATTGACATTGAAAATGAAAAATCGGCCTACTCCTTTGGGAGTGAAATTTCAGGCTGTGACATTACGCGCACTCGTTCATGCGAATGGAGCAATCGATGTCATTGCAGCATCGGTGTTTGATGTCGCATCGCCTGCATTAGAAGAGTCTCATAACGTTAACACGATGTGCAACTTCATTGCACTATTACGAGTTCCTATGGAGCAAAGCTAAGCCTAGAGACATGCGTGTTATTATCGCATGTATGCAAACTACGATTAACCGATTCTACCTGTTTCTAGGTCACATGCTATACATTCCATCACTCGCTCACCTTCAACTCCATTTGGATTTTTTAATACTCTTTTATCGGTGCCCTTTTTTTTTAAATATTTTTTTTCTACCTACGACGGCGTATGCCGTGTTGCATGTTTGACGCTTGAAAAACTACTTATTGCATACAGGAAAAAGGAGCTTTATATGAAAGGGGATAAGTCGAGTGAAAATTTTTTTCCTTCCTCCACGACCTGACAAGTGCTTTGAGCAAGAGTAGTTTAAATGTAAGGCGCCTGGATGAAGAAAAAATCACTTCAAAGACTTTGTTACTAGTTTATTAAAACATTCAAGGATGTGGCGTAGAAATTAAAAACTGGTGAAGTATGTTTCACATGTTACAGTTTTGTCATTTTAATTTGTAGTGTCCGTTACGAAATAAATAGCGTATCTATCAATTACTTACTTCACAATCAACTATTTTTCGATCAGAGATCAATAACGAATTCCTGAGTCAATCATTTTATATCAACGTTACAGAGATATTTTCCATAAAAGATGAATACGTCCACACATGAATAGACCGATGAACTAGTTCTCTGTCATCTTTTGAAAGTACATATAGTTCATTTATTATTTAGCATAAGACCACTCATTGACACTGATGGATAAAAAAATTCGTCCCCGGTTGGATTGAAAAACTTAAAACAACGCTCTTAAAGACTTGAGGTATTGCGAGCTACTAGGTGACTGAAAAAAAAAAAATTATTCAACAAGATAATTAATTTATATTGCCAAGATAACGTTTGTAAACGATGGTTTGGGGAGCGAGTCTAAAAATAGTTATTACAGTACATACATAAATGTGGTCGATCAATCAATGTCTATAACACTTGATTAAAGAACTCTTTGAACTCGAATCGTAAAGATAGAAATCATAAGATAAGTTATTAAATGTATGAATCATTAGTTTTATCAGCGATACCCAAAGACTAATGATAAAACATGCACGTTGTTCCGGTGACGTTGCCGTTGAAAGAATCGAGGATAAAGTCGTCGTTAAAGAACATAAAAGATATTCAATCACACTTGTATCTGTTTGGTTTCTAGCGGACTCGTCATCCCGATATCATCGTCTCCACGTCCAGTCGTTGCAGTGCTACGTTCGTGCTCGTAGAGATCGCGACTGAATGGATCCACAGCTGGGTCTGGCTTCGCCGTGGCTGCGAAAATGCCGCCTACTGTACGTGTGCCTGCTCATTGGACTGCTAACGCCAAGCGTCGCCTCGAGCTACAGCATCGGCGTGGGCATCGCCGACGTGACCGGACCAGTCGCCGAAGTCGTCTTCGTGAGTACACAACCCTATAAGGATGTTTAAGGATCCTGACTCCCTTTCCTTTCATCTACTGATTGATCATTCTTGCGTGAATAGAGTGGTTACGACGCTCTTACCGACCTGTATCATGAATCCGCTTATAAAGCTCAAAGGAGAGATATTTTGAAGACTTGCTCGTTTCATCCGACGCGTGACTTTATCAATTCAGAGTTTAGAAGGCTATTAACTAAGCTCACCAACGATCACTATGATGATATTTTGTGATTGGTGACCTTATTTCACAAACTTAAGGGTTTCATACTTAGCAAGTTTGGTTGGAGAAAAAAATTTCTAGATCTTAAATAATCTAAAATAAAATATTTAGATCTTTACCTCTCGCTTGTTCAGATGGTTTGTTTATTGTTACTTGAAGCGTATTTTACGCTACACTAGCGTATTTTCTCATTACTTATGGTAAATGTTGACAAATACCTTTTCAATTTTTTAGTGTTTAACAACATATTTTTAGTTAAAAACATTATTACTGATATTTTTTTATCTCATTATCTTAAAACCACGCGATAGAGGAATTTAAATTAATCTAGTTGACAAAACTGTTTTACACTCACTGGTACTAGTAATAATTATTTTTATCTGATAATATGGTACAACGATATGTAATGATTCACTTGTCAATATCATAGTTTTTTGTTCTGATCTTATCATTTAACGTTTTCATTCGATTTTTGATGGCATCACTAGGAAAAGATAAGTTCTTGAAACAGTAAAAACTCTAACTGCTCTTAAACTCTCAGATACAATGAAAAGTATACTCGATGATTTTTTTTTTTTTTTTTTTAGTACGTCACTTACTAGGGAATTAAAAACAAGGGACAATAGAGAAATCTCGTGCACTACTTTTTCATAAATGTCAACAACCTCTCTTATTTTAGCTATTTATAACTATTTATTATTTTTACTGTAAGTAAATTAGGAAATCAAATAACCGATTATTATTTTCCATCCCCTGTTGACAAACAGATGGGCTACGCGAAGATGGATCAGAAGGGATTAGGCCTTCACACGCGGTTATTTGCCCGATCATTTATCATCGACGATGGAGAGCAAAGGTTTGTCTTTGTCTCGGTGGACAGCGCGATGATCGGCCACGGTGTGAAAGCTGCGGTAAGTTTGCCCGTAATTTTCCAACGATTTCGTGCTTTTTATTCGCGGGAGGTACTTTGGGATTTTGTCCTTTCTCGCCCATATTTTGTCATTCATTTCTCCAAATAAACCTTCATATCTATACGTGTTCATATATGTTTCGTTTAAAAATAAAACGAAAGTCAATAACCGATAAGATGTTAGGTATAATATGAATTTCATCTATTATACGTGAAAAATGTTTAATACATTAATCACAATGACGATGATGACGATTATAAGAGAACCTGCCAGTTTGGTATTACTTTGGCAAAACGTAAGGGATGCCATTCAACCGTATCGTTTGCGTGATTATTCATTTCGTAAAAAAATTAATCAATCAAAAATGTCATTGGACAGGTCCAGCCAATTTTATCAAACTAATATGACAATTTTAATTTTTAGGTCGTCAAAAAGCTCAATTCCCACTACGGGAATTTATACACAGAGTCAAACGTGATGATCAGCGGGACGCACACGCATTCGAGTCCAGGTGGTTTTATGATGGACGTGCTCTTCGACATTTCGACTCTGGGCTTCGTCAGAGAAACATTCAACGCACTAGTCAATGGCATTAGCAAGGTAGGTTACATATAATATCATTCATACGCACACCTCTCATTGCATCACGGGAGGCATGGAGTTGCCGTCGCGGAAATTCAATGAAGCCGGCTGACCTCTCAATCGTTTATTTCCGTCACAGAGCATAGATAAGGCGCACAACAACATCGTTCCCGGAAGGATATACGTAGCCCGTGGCGAAGTATTGGATGCCAATATCAATAGAAGCCCCGCTGCTTATCTGAGGAATCCAATTTATGAAAGAAAAAGGTATTTTTAGTAAAAAGGTAGTTTTTAGGTACATAATTACAACAACGGTCCCAGCTTGACTGATTTTTTTTACTGCTGATCTCTGTGCCATTGAATTAATTATCACAATAATTCGATGTTATGCAAAATGATTATATTATTTTTATATAAAGTAATGAAGCACGTGAAAAATATTCATATATATGAAAAAAAAAAAAAAAAAAAGATGACGCAACAAGAAACGAATACATGTTGTTTCGGTTTATATAACAAAAAACAGCATTAAATGATTGCTTGACACAACAGAAAATGCGAATGAAACAAATTAAATGCAAAGTCCGATTTGAATAGAAACTTTTTTTTATAGTAAATGACGTCACTTGTTTGCTTTCCTGATGGATACATTTTAATGACCAGGAAGTCGTCCGCGTAATTCAAGCAGCAATAAAATTTTGATAATGGGACAGAAAACATTGTCATATCATAAAAAAGGTTACATCCAACATATATTGTATAGTAAAATATAGAATTCTAAATGTTGGGTACGACAAACATTGAATGTACATACACGAGTAAATTGCTATTAATATTTGAGGTGAAAAATTCTACAGTAATTTCTGATTATTTTAACTATAGGTATGAATAACAATTGCCAAACTGTAGTCAAGTAGTAATGTGATTGTAAGTACTAATCATAAAATGATCCAAAATTTATTGATAAAATATAAACGTTATATCTAAAAGTATCGCATCTCGAAACTCTGTAACGAAAAACGTTTTTTAACACATACTTAATAACAGTTGTAAAATTTTTTGTTTTTCATATTTTTTCGATCTAGCACGTCAACAGCAATTTGTTTCCTTAAAATTTCAAGTGATTATTCGACGTTTTAAGAGCATTTTTCTCGTTTAAAATACCTTGGTTTTATTACTTTACACAGATATCTTTTTTTTTGCAAAGTTATTAGTAAATTTATCAAATAACATTAAGAAAAGCTCTCTACATTCCTGAAACGTAGAAATACATACACCCACACACACCTTATTCCATAGTTACCTCATTCATTAATCATTAGACTCCTTCTCTGAAGCTATTTGGAGCTGATCATAGCTGCCCAGGGGCTGTATAAATCATTGACGTGGAAAGCCACACTGATGGTCATTGAACACCCTCGGCAATTCTGGGCTCTGATTTAATTAGCTCTAAAATGGCACGGAATAAACTGTATTGCCTCTTTCGAAGACGCAAGAGTCACAAAAAGACTTTGAAGTTATTTGAAGATTACATAATATTTTTAAAAGACTCTATAAATTTACAAAAGATTTTAAAAGTCTTATACTAAAATGTAAAAAAAAGTTATCTAATACGTTTGATGATTTTGAAGTCTCCTAAAGTGTTTCAAAAACTGCAAAGATTTTAATCTTTTTATCGAGACATTAAAGTGCGCTGTCTCCCAAAGAAAGATTAGTTGAAGATTGTTATTTTTCCTTCGTGTAACTTCAAAGTATAAAAGTTTTTGATAAATATGTCATCTATACAGAGTGAATGTTGATCCTACGACCTTTAGTTCGACTACAAGTTACACTACTCATACCGATACCAACGTCCGATTAAAATCCCTACCAAAAACGATGTTTTCCTCACAGGTACAAGCATGACACGGACAAGGATCTCGTGCAAATGCAGTTCATCGCGGCCACGAACCGCCCCCTGGGCGTTATCAACTGGTTCGCCGTGCACCCGACTAGTATGAACAACACCAACCACCTCGTGTCCAGCGACAACGTCGGCTACGCATCGATTCTCTTTGAAAAGCGAGTCAACAAGCACACCATGATCGGCAAGGTAAATGCAACCCTGATTTTCCCGGTTATCTGAAATGAGCTATAGAGTGACTCTCTTTCACTATTGCTTGTGACAATTACGCTACAGAAGCTTCCGAGACAAGTTAATTACGGATCTTTGGGAAAACGAAGCCTTTGAGGGCCTCTTCTGCGAAACGCGTGCTTTGGTGTGCATCAGGTTGCCAGGCTAGTGGTGCAGTTTATTAGTTATATTCAAGCAAAGCCAATACTATTCGATACAGCGTGTGGTGCGGGTTTGACACACATGAACTTCGAAATTTACTCACGAGATTGTAAATACAACAAGTAAATGGATAAATTAGCGTTGGAAAATCAAATATCTACACTTTGTAAAATAGTTGATACTTGAAATGTCAATGGAGGTTACTACATGATCAAACCAACGTAATACCTGATAGTGTTATTTTAAAGTTGACATATTACCCAATATTTGCGATAAAATTTGATACGTAAATCTCGGGTAAAATTCATAAATTTTGATGGCTGATGTAATCGACCAAAACACGTAGGTGACACTTGCACGTTACATGTTACATTATTACCTGTAAGGATATTTGTTTGCATTTTTATTTAATCATCTTAATCACTTTTACCAAGATTCTTTTCATCACATACAAAGACCGTTGTACTTTGTACTAACTGTTAATGTTCTTGTTGTAATTTACTCATTTTAACTGTGATTACAGGGTGAGTTCGTGGCAGCGTTCGCGTCGACTAACTTGGGAGATGTTTCTCCGAATACTCGCGGTCCGAAATGTGAATTTTCTGGGAAAAATTGTAGCGAGCACTACACCTGTCGCGGTAAAAAGGAAATGTGCTTTGCCTCGGGCCCCGGAAGGGACATGTTTGAAAGCACCAGCATCATAGCCCACAAGATATTCAACGAATCCTGGGTAAGTTGTTTGGACCATTTATTACCATTATCGAACATTTGGTTATGATAAATATACTCAAATATCAATTTTTTTTGTAAAATTATGCGGTTGATTTAAAAAGTTTTTAAAAACTATGAGATATCTTTTAATAATTGTCAAAAAATCTGATAATTCATCCAACGGCCGATAAAGTCCCACAAGAGGCTACAATCGACAGTCTCCTTCGATTGAATCGACTTGTCACTGATAAATAATAAAAAAATCCATCATAATTGTATATGATTATTAAACTGGATGAAAAATTAGAAAAACATGAAATAGATGGTTCAAAGTGTAAATTAAATTATGATGTTTAATGGGATTCTTATGGCGAGTTCACTTACCCCAGACGGTGGTATCGATCCTTGGTGGATGGACGGTCCTTTTACACGGTTTATCGTCGATATTTTTGAAACGACAGCTCCCAAGATGCTTCTGTTACTGACATACGCCAATACAACCACGAGCACAATGATCTGCAATTTTAGTTTTTTTGTAAACGTAATTAGGATTTTGGTTATTACCTAGTTTGGAAGATTATGGGCACGTCACGGTAGGATTTTTGCGTCTTTCACTTTTTACGAACTTGCGTAACAGCGTTATGTGCCAAGTTTAAATTTATTCTCACTAAGCTTCGATAAATGATTTTTTCAAAATTTAAAAAATTTGCGTTTTAAAAAAAATAAATATGATCGTTAATAGCGATAAAATTGTCAAAGTTAATTACAAACCACGTTCAAAAAAACTCAAGCTTTAAGAAATGGCAATTGAAACTTTGTTTTTTTTTGAAAGATTCATGTACAGTAAAAAAAAAATTCAACATTAGTAAAAACGTGGCAGAGAAAGATACCTATACCAAAAAAAAATCGACTCCTATGTAAAATTTTATAACGGTAGATGAAAGTGAAAGCAAACTATTATCATGACTTCAATTATTACCTTGCGACTTGTGTTAAGCATCTTTTCAAACTTTGATTGGTACCTACGTATGGATGAAGCAAAGATATTTGTACTAATGATTTGCTACATACAACCACTTGTCTCTTATACTCGAAAGTCGTGGATTGACATTCCGTCCTACATTTGCACGTTTCGACGTCATCAGTTACATATATGGAGTTCCAAAACTTGCTCTGTCGTGTTAATTTATTGACTTAATTTATTTGACAGATAGTTTCATTCGTATAACCTTTTATTCAACTTGTTTATCAGTTTGTCTTTTTATCTGTATGTTTACAACGACAAACCGTAAAACAATGAATTACCTCATCAACTCTGTTGACATGGGTGTTGGCGATAAAATAAAACTGTTTTGATCAGTAGAGTCCAAGGAGCTAAGGGTAATCGTTTTAAATTCAATAACAACCCATTATTTATAATACACAGTTTATACTGTCCAGCGTTTAAACCTCGTATTCATCATAAATATTACAATTTGGAACCCTACTTTACTTGTATATCTTGACATATGGGTATCAATGAAAAGGGTTCGACAAGTAAAAATATCGCGAGCCCAGTTATAAAATCTCAAACCAAATGTGACGGCTCCGTTAGGACGGTTTCTTTTTAATCTCCTCGACATAAGAAAAATAGTTGTGACGTCGTCAAATGATTGTTGTCTTGACTTGATGTCAAATAAAAAGGATTTACTTAAATTAAACTAAAAAGTATAAAATAATTTTTTCTTGAGCCTACCACATGTCACTATAAGTAAGTGCCTGGATACTGTAATAAAATTATGATTACATAAAAGAGACGAAAGAGATATACTTAATACGTCCCAAAATATCAAGACTCGACTGCTGATTTCACGATATTTGAGATGGTAGGCTAGACAACTCCGTTTTGTCAGCTTGACGACTACGCTCATCCTACCTCACGACTGTCTGGAGGACTCTTGGATGGTTATATTTTTTTTCTCGTCTGTAGAGCTGAATGGAGCCAAAATTTTTTTATCTACTTATTTTTTTATTTTGTGTGTGATGTTTCATTACGCTTCATTTCGTATTCTTTATACGTAAAAATTTCGGAGACCGTTCGCTGTGGGGTGAGTTTTTCGTTTGATTGACGCAAATACAGTGTCAATGCGATGAGAAGCATTACTGGCAATTTTTTTATCAGCCATCTAATTCTATACCTAGAAGCTTTTTCGGGGAGGGGGGGGGAAGCCACGTAATAGAGAATTACGTCAGAAAAATTAGCTGAAACAAAATAGTAAAACGAAAATTGTCTTTCAATAAAAAAAAATTTTCTTAAAATTTTTAACGGTTCTTGTTTCAATTTTGTATCGAATATACTTTTCATAAGATCCGCCGAAAATACCGTTTATCATAATTTTTTAAATCTCTTTCATTGCTTCCTTATAACGCTATAAAATATTGACTACACTTTGTTTCGAGATGCCAGACAATTGCAGGGACCAATAAGACAAATAGTTTGCACAAGAGATCAAAAACATAACATGGCCGCAGTCACCTTGAGAACAGTTTTACGATACATGCCATTGTGACCAGTGTATTAACATTCAATCATACGTATACAGCTGCAAAGTGCACCGCAGCTATTTATAGGCGTGGTGGGAAAAAGAATAGGCACACACAGCGGGTGGAGCGGTACCACTTGCAAAATAAATATCAAGGCTTTAGGTTGTGGGTTTTGCGGTGTTGTTGAAGTTTTCAGGTAAACGAACGGAGATGTATGCGTTTAGCTGGCAAAGAGAATTATCTGCGCCATCGATTTACAAATACTTGGATGGAAAGAGAAGCCGCGAGACGAGCAGGTAATTTTTTGCACTTGACTTTTCGGCTGGAAAAGGATTCGGGAGTTTATCTAATTTTTTACACTGACATTGTAAGAGTGGTCGATCGGGTGATTTTTCTAATTAAAAAACGAAGCAAGATACCAGACAGTGCTAGGCAACAGAAATAGGTTTTTAAAATTCAAAGTATTATTCGCGGACAAAATATTTTATCTCTTCTTTTTATTTTCTTAATTTTAATTTGCGTCAGGTCTAATTTAACAAAAAATACTATTCATTGTTCTTTAAAAGCATTTAACACGTATTAACTCAAATGGGATGTACTCAACAAAAATGTAATTAAAGTTTTATTTCAAACAATAATTGTTGGCAAGTTTTACTTTAATAGTCGAAAACCATGTAATAATTAGGCTGCTGCAACCATCGAGGTCAACGAAAAAATTTTTTTTGCTCATTAAGGCTGCTTTATTTCTCTGCACGAAGCTGGTTTTTGTCAGCTACAATTTTATTTTAAAATCTCTTAAATCTTACCGATTACTATTTTAACAGTGTACGTAACTTATTGCGTACTAAAAAAAGAAGAAAATTTGGAACTGATTGGTCCATCTTGTACTTGATTCGATCCACACTGCAAATGATTGAATTATTCCTACAGTGAAAGGAAATAAAATAGCCTAAAATCCTCGAATCACGTGTTTCGTCGATGAAAGAGGGAACGAGATTTACATCAGTCGTAGTAGTCTCCGAGTCTTCCGTAGAAAGAAGTCGGTCCATTGAGTACTCCACTTTGGGCGTAGTAAGGATAACCAGCTAGTGATCCGAATCCGAAACCTTCTCCGCGAAGGCTACCGTAATAAGGTAGACCCAAACGCAAGCTGCTATAGTCATCATAGTACCTGTTGTAACCACGATAGTTGCCAAAGCCAGCCGCATACTGTGGATAATCCTACGAATACAATATTGGTCGTGTAATGATCGAATGATTTTTAGTTTAATAGTTACAACTATGTAATTTTCACTGCAGTATCATCCAAATGATAAACTATTAGTTCGCACAGTTATATAAAGGATAAAAGCAACATTGTAATACCTCGTGGTTTTTATTTCAATAGACATGGAATACATATATAGAATAAGATATCATCAAAAAATGATTGAGCGAGTTGCTTCATTTATTTATAATGAGGGGAAAAAATATTCTTTTCATTCGAATTTTTCATAACACATCCAAGTTTAACACTGTGTGGAGCACAAAACTAATGAATCCTCGAATCAATTAGGCAAATGCAGCAACTCCAATATACACGTTCCACTCAAGCGAGTCCCTCATTCTCGGTATGCATGCAAAGTAAACACAAAATTACTTACATAGTATCCCGGGGATCCATAGAATAGCTCATCGTCTCGAGCGTAGACATTACTGAGGCTCCCCGAGTAGCCAATGTTTGATAGTACTCCAGTTCCGAGGGTATCGGTCACTCCAAGTGGAAAGCTCGTGTACGGACTCAAGAGCCGCGCATCGTCAATCTCTCGCTTGACGGACTTGGCAGGTGTCACTGCAGCTGTTGATACTGACGTTACAGCTAGTAACGCGAGAAATAGGTGTTCCAGCTACAAACAAAGATGATATTCGTGGTTTTTTAAAATCACCACAGCTCACGATTCTTAATATACGCATATGTATTGGAACAAGAGTAGATAGAGTATGATGGTTAATATGGTGAGACGATTTTATTCAACAAAAGTCAAGAGTTTTTATCTTTTGGTACTTTTTTTTGTAAAGTAAATGAAAAAGCACAAAATCCTACCGGTAACATCATGTCTTCCGTTTATCGCCAATGGCTATTAACTGACGGTTCAAATCGGTTGGGCGGATTTATATACCATGTGGCAATGGGAAAAAAATATCCGTCCCAAGCTGTACGTTTTTCTTGGCGTCATTGAAGATTTCTCTCGTAAGTGCGCGAGAAAACATATCAAGGTGGAATAGGACTGCAAATACGTTACATGCGCGCGCACACACACACACACACACACACACACACACACAGCCAAAGATCGCGAGAAACCTGTGTGTACTTCAATTGTAATTAAAAGGAGACACTTACGCAAAGCGTCGCAAGGATTGTTTCTGATGTTTCATAGATTATAACATAAAATGAACGATTCGGTACTCAAATAGAACTTGAAAACGTCTCACGTTTTGGAGAATCACGAGGTTGTTATTTCTTTGATTCATCGTTACAGAACAAATTGTATTGTAATCCATTTTAAAAACTTAATGTAAACATGCATGACATCAGGTACATGTTGCGTTTAACGACCTTGCACATTATTTTGCTGTACATGCGTGGCAGTTGTACCAAGAAAATCCATAACAACTGGGGCCACGTCACACTTAGTCCACTTACATAATGGGCCATTTAGAAGGGGAAAATTGGCACGTGTCAGCTGTAAGTGTCACCTGAACTCTTCATTACACAACCTATGTAAGCAGCGAATCCGAGAAAACTAAGAAGAAAGTTCAGTTGAGCAGCAGATCCTTGGGATTCCGCGTCTCCTTCTTCTCTGCGGTCACGATTGTTTTTCTCACGCTTCCAATTCATAGTAAAAACGCCCTCGCACACGCCTCTTGGACATTATGCAAATAGCCTCGATACAGTACCCATAGTCATCCCATCGAGGCTTGCGACTTTTTGTAGGCCACGTTATGTGGAACAGTTTTTTTTAAATTTATTTCTTTCTTTTTCCTTTTACATGCAAGCGTCGTTAGGTGAGTTCATGAAACTGGCGTTTTGCATGCACACCTATTGAAGCCGTAGATAAGTACCGAGTAGTATTTTAAACATAAATCTTGACTCACCGCTTGAATGCGTTATGTTGTCATTTTTTTAGAGTCATCCATCTCGTTATGATTTTATTGAAAATTCTTTAAATTTCTTGCTTGGACATTATTACTACGATGATATGCAGGTAAACGTACGTTAAAAACAGTGCTTTTGAAATGTACTGTTACTACATACGTATATTTCTGAAATCATTGAAAAAATTGCAACTACGCATGTGGAAAATTTGCAGGAGTGGACACTGCTATTCATTGTTCGTGTACAAATTTACTTGTGGGAATAAAATTTACGATGTACGAGAGAGAAATAGGTCCTTCGAGTAAACGTTTGAAAGTGCTCGAGTGTCCTTCCGTTCTCCCTATCTCGCTCTTAATACGGATTTTGCGGTTGCAAAGTGCATTGTTGTATTCCTGGTGGCTTTTACGCAAGATGCCTTTACGACCAAAGAAACGGATCACTGCGTTTTTTCACCTTCCTCCACCTACTCCATTGAGTTTGATGGAGCTGAAAAGTAATTTGCTCCAAGATACGTTTCGTGCAAAGAATGTAGGTGTGTCTGAGTGTTTTTTTTATGAGTAAATCTGTATTGATGAGTGTATTAGTTTATGAAGAAGTTCATATTAAATTTTATGAATAATTAGATAAAATATAAAAATTAACAACACTACAGTGATTAGATATTTAGTGTCAATGAATCATTTTGTTAACAATTGAAGTTGCTTAAGATAACTGAATACTTCAATTTTTAGACAAATATTACGACCAATAAATTATTGGAAAATCAGAAGCACTTTACAATCGTTGCATCCTAGTACCTATGATTTTTCGTTTAATTTAACTACTTTTATATTTAATAAGTTCTTGTCATAAATGCTAGGCTAAGAGCATAAGTATTTTCTTCAAAGTTATTACAAAAGTCAAGTGAGAATCATAGAGCTAGTGATACCTGTCAAATCGACATCACAAAATAAAAAAATTATGTTGCCACAACAGGTCGAATTTTGGTGAACATCGCCAATACTTCCAATGACTTTTACATTAAAGATATATAGTTGGATAAATGAGGGATGCCCTATTATACATATTTATTAAAGGATTCATTGATGTAATTTTTGGTCTTTTATTGACATATGATTCTATAACTGTGTACAATCTTTACATAAAATACAACTTTTATCATAACACATAAATAAGTATGTGAACAATACATAAAGTAAATGAATACATCGTTATATTTAATTATTTATTCTACATGCATTATTAATCATACAATAGATGAACATCGATCATTACGATGCAAACGTAATAACTATACCTATTTGTAGTTGATACTGAGAAAATAATATATTAAAAGAAATTTACGTAATGATAAAAAGAGCAATACTATATAGTTAAACATGCAATGCACCTCCTTGTAACATGTAAACTTTTCTTATCTTTAAGTGTTTTCATTTTTTATACATAAATTAAGTACAATAATACATATCAGATGTACTTTATGAATTCACTGAAAATAATAAGGTTTAAAAGCAGCAAAGAAAAATTTTCGTATAGATGTTTTAAAATAAAAAAAAATCTGACCAATCAAGTAAATAATAGTGGTTGGAAGACCTATCTCCTCGCTATATTTTTATTGTTTATCGCCTTTGGCGTTGAAATAAGCAACGTTAGGTATTTCAATGCACCTTGTTTTTCAAAGTTTAATTATTCATGATCATTGTGAATTCTAAGGTAAATTTACATCGTAAAAATTAAGAGAAATGAACAATCTAGAGCGATATGCCCAAATATTTTTTTTCATGTCTTGGAGATCAATGAAAAACAGAATAAGAGAGATAGACTCTCTTCGAATGTTAAGTATCTAGAGTGAGCTAGAAATTAAATGAAATCCCTCTTACAAATAGGCAATCCATTCACTGCCAGCAAGGGTAACTTTCGTTTCTGCGAAAAGGCTTTATAGAATACTTTTAAGAAAAACTCTTTAGAGTTATCAAAAAATAAGTAAAAAAAGTAAAAAAAAAAAAAAAAATAAAAAAAATACAAGAGCCACTTCAGAAGTTGTCAGAGCTGTGCAACAGCGAAAACTATTAATTACATCAACTCCAAAGTTATTATCTCCTCCTTTCCTTTCCCATTCAATTCAAATTACAGTACACAAAATTATACATAAGTAGTACTCCCTCAAGAGCTTCATCGTACCCACACACGGGTGCACCAATATAATGCGCAATAGCTCCGCACCTCCCTCTCATCCTTGTTGCGTCGACACGCGCTTTTACCGTCTCTTCAAATTTCTACATACCCTGACCAACAACGACACTCCAATCTAACGAAAACTTAATTAATCAAGTACTTGCATGATTTTAGAGAAAAACAAAGAAAAAAAAAAACGGCAGAAGAATCTCTTTTGTACATCTACGTGATACAACACCGTATCTCGTTCACCCCTCACTCACGTACTCGTGGTTCGATCGTCGCTCAATCACGTACTTAAGGCAGGTGCTCGTAGCCGTAGTACTCGGGCGCGTGGTGCACGTACTTGGGCACGGGATGGGGATGGGGGTGCAGCTGCGGCCCGACCTTCTTGACCACGGCGTTGAAGCCGTTGTGGTCGTCGGCCGTGTACTCAACGATCCTGACGCTGCCGTCGGGCTCGTTGACGCTGTAAGAGCCGTGAACCACGTCTCCGTCGCGTACCTCGTGCTGCGTCTTCACGTCACCCGTGTGCGGGTCGTGCACCCCGTAGTTGAACGTGTACTTCGGGTGTGCCTGAAACATCAAAGGAATCACTCTTTACCATCCACGCTGTGATTTTGGCATCGTATAGAGTATATTTTTAGGAGGATTTTTTTTTTTTTTTNTTCGCACAGATAAGCCAAATTGATCGCCCGCTATTAGCGGTGATTATCCCACTTCCTTTCCTTCTCTGTTTATTCGAGTACGTCGTATCCTACATACGTAAAAACTCGTGACATAATTATGTAAAAGTAAATAAATGGTTTTCAGCAGAGCCAATATGACAAAAATAACTGTTATGACACGGGTTCGATAAATCTGTACTCGACGTTGCGTATATAATCAATAAATTAGAGAGCCAAACGACTTTGCCCGTACATGCTTGATTAACGGTAATCGGCTTTTGCTAAAGCATGAGCCTTTGGCAATAATTAGACATTCGGTACCCACTCGTTAATAAAGGCAATATCATGTTCATATACAAGCAAAAGGTAAATCCAATAATTAAAATGATTTACAGCTTATCATGCGGTTTTTGAATTTAAAAAAATGATATGTTTTTCCAGTTTTTTTTTTTTTTTTTTTTTTATTTCGAGGCGTGCCAAAGTTCCACTTTTCCTAAATCCAGACCTTAGAAAGAGACTAGATTCTATCAACTTGATCAGCATCCAAAACAGCGATGTTTACGTGCAAAGAGATAAAATTGGTTTTATGCACGATATTCCGAAAATTTACGACGTCCGATCCATAAGATCAAAAGTCGCGTTATGAAGGCCTGTGAAAAACTTTCGGACGAAAATAGATCAGCGAGACAGAAATTCAGAGGGATCGATGACCTTCCACGAGGCTATTAATTTTCTACGGAAAATAAATGAAGTGGATGAAAATAACATACACCGGTGACGTTTCATTAAGTGACGGGCAAAGCCGACAGGAGGTAATAAAACACATTGACTCAAAGGTTTGTGAGATATTTTGAGGGGAATATATGACCCACTGTGTAATTTTGTTTTTTTGCTTGCCGAGGTGCAGGTAAATTTTGACGATAGGGAGTGTGCAGTACGTGTTTTTCGAACGATCTTTTAACTGAGTGAAGTAGAAGCTCATGGAAACAACAACCAACAACTAGAGAAATCATAAGATGGTTTGGAGAGTTTTTGAAAAAAATATTAATACGCGAGAAAATTGAAAATTTACATAAAAAAGTAGACGTGTACGAAGGAAAAGATTTTCATAATGCCGAGGGAAAAATGTTGCGATTTTCGAGATAAACGGAATTATCTCCAGAGCAATCTCGTGGACTCAAATATTCAAGATATTTCACGTTTGAGCTGATATTCGTCACGCACAACCCTTAAGTATTCTTGAAATAAACCAAAAACAAAAATAATTCTTTTCTGTTATTGTAAATTCCTCTAAATCATCTCCCAAAATATCTTGTGGGTAATATTAAAAGGAAATATGGAGCAAATCTATTGTTTTATAGAACATACTAATGTAATGTAATATATAAGCTGTAAAACCTGATACGTTTGCTATTAACTGTGATCACGTTTCTTACATCTGTCAAAATATCAGGTCATCTCATTGGAATAAAAGTTTCATTAACGGACAGACATGATGATGTCCAAGAAAAAAAATCTTCTGATTCCTTAACTTTATCCTACCAGTTATGTATATGCGGTACGTCTGGACGCTACGTGTCGAAAGTAGGAAAAAAAAATCCATACATACATGCGTGGTCAGTAACGAAAAAAGCTTAGGACATATATATATACGGTGTATTGCGTCGACAAGAGACCCATAAAAGAAGTCACATAAATGAAACAACAATGGATCTTTAACGGCTCCTAAGGATAGATAATAAGAGAATAAGGGAGAGAAAGTGGACAAAAAAATGAAAAATTACGTCGTCAAAAAGGTGCCCTGAAACGTAATAATCACCTGCGTTGCTACATTGACTACACTAAGTACTCTAATGAGTGTTGTTTTATGTGACATGAAGTATTTTTTCGAGGGTAATACATTGTGAGGATTATCATTCATTTCGGAATGACGAATGTATTGCACGTGATCACGAGTTAACGAGAACTGCGCGTTAGTTACATACGATGGCACTCATCATCGTTTGCCATGTGTAGCAAGGATTTTTGTAAGAACTGTAAACCGTGGATTAATGAGATTCACCAAAGAAAAACATAAAGTTTCGTGAATCGATTGGAATCTGATGTAATTTATTTAAGTAAATTTATCTTTGTGAAACATGTAAAAAGATGAATTTTAATTAACTTCAATGTCTGGCTTATGAGCTGGATGACTTAAATTAAATCTTACTACAATTAACTTTAAAAGCATTGCTAAAAAAAAGTTACACGTCAGCCTCGCTTTATTACCGATCAGCCACAAAAATAACGATTTTAGCACGAGACATATCGTAAATGTGTCTTAGTTGAAAAGTATCGATTAAAACGAGATTGAAAGAAAAAAAAATGAAAAGTAAATTGGAATACATATCTCAGCAAAGCGTCTTCACAACTATTACCTAAGTGAAGCTGCTTTCACCTTTCAAATACCGAGTAGTCCTCTATCAAATTTTTTGTTTATCTGCTATACGTTAAAAAAAAAGTTTCCCAAACCCTTGGCACGTCACGATTTGATGCATCCAAGAAAGGCATACACTATCGTCCACACTAAAATACAGATAAAACTAAAAAGTGAAAAAACAGACGAAAATACAAGAACTTGTTGAGCTACAACAACGAATTTCAATAAAAACTTCCCCTCGCACTGGGTCAGAGTCGAGTCGTTTGAATAATCGATCAATTATGCTGACGTACCTACTTGTGGTTGGCAAAAAAAAGTTTCAAAATAAATTCTTTGGCATTTAGAAATCTTAAATTATCCACGAAACTTGTAATCAAACGTTTTTTCCTTTATTTTTTCTATCTACGATTAGATGATGAAAAAAAAAAAAAAAAACAATCAAAATGTGTCCATACTATAAGCACAATAGACGTACCAGCGACACGTACTTACGTATGCAACAATAACAGGCGTCGTAAAAAAAAGGAGGAAAGAAAGAAAGAAAGAAAGAGTTAGTGGAGGTAACGCTCAATTAACCCATACCGCGAGTATGCATGCAAAAAAAATACATACACGAGCGCTCAGCTGCAGAGAACCCAAGAAATGTCGTAACAGCTGCCTATAGCACCACGAAAAAGTAAAATAAGCTTGCGAAAACCACATCCTTCGCCCGCGAGCCTCAGCGGCGCATCCTGTAATTATCTCAGGCGACACATCTATCCATACCTCCCATAGATCCCTTCAAATTCTCTCTCACGGATGGAAATAAAAAAAAAAAAAAAAATACCACCAGAACAGCCACAGAGAGAGAAAGACACAGCCCGCGCTGGGGAGCGGGACCAATATATACAAATACACAGGCGGAAAAAATAAAGTATGTCTGTGGAGTACTTACGTAATAGTCGTGCTCGTGATCGGGATCGTGGGCCAAAACGTGGGGCTTGATGTGGTGGAGCTCGTGGTGCTCGGGGGCGATGTGGTGGTGGAGAGGCGCGGCGGAGACCGCGTGCACAGGCACGGCTACCGTCGGCAGGACGGCGTGGCCGTCGTGGTAATCCTCGAGGGCGGCGTAGTCCGCGTAAGCTGCGTGGTGCTGGGGGTGGCCACCGTTGTAGCCTATCACCAGACCATTGCACCAGGCTATCAGCGCCCCGAGTATCCCCAGCAACTGCGTGGGTCGTTGTTATTTTTGTTATTGTTATTTTTGCTGACGCTGAACGGATCATTTTTTGTGAAGTGAGAGATGACGTGTGATCATTGATTAAGTATTATTGCGGTTTGTTTAAGCATCAGTTTATTAAATTCTAAGTGTTCGTAAATATGTTTGCTTTTTCTTTTTTTTTCATAAAAATGATTGATACTTATGTCATTTGATCAATACAAAAAGTCAGGCAATATCCCATTTGTTTACCAAAAAACCTTACAATAAAAACTGACAGCTTATAAAAAATTTTCCTTATGAATAAGGTACATCAATTTTGAGAGTGGCATACTTTGATTAACTGGAGTTTCCTGTAGAATAATATATAATAATATGTAATGATTCTCAAACTACCTACGTATTACATCTGGAAACTTTAGTTTGTATCAACACTTGTAAAGTTACTTTTCGTTTGTAGTTTCTGATTTCAGCTTTTAAGAAGTATTAAATAAACTGTTTAGAAATATAACATCAGTTTGAAAGTTAAAAAATCAAAGAAAGTTCTATTATTGCCAAACATAGCACGTCATCGGAAATATGTGATTAAATTTTAAGACACTTTACAAACAGGAGATCCCCCTAAATTTAACGATTGTGTACACCATTAGTGCTTCACCGAGAGTGTCGACTTTCACGTGCATAAGCTGAATAAAATCCCTGAAAAGCGAATTTCCTTCGTATTCTTCCTTTTTTTTCGAAAAGCGCTGTCTTAAGAGCTCTATTGTTGAAGCGATACGCAGAAAGACATTTCTTTTCCCAGAATTAAGGAATGTGGGTAAACATTGAAAATTTTTTTATAACGTATTGAACCGTTGGAAAGTTTGGAAAAGTGGTAAGATTAAATAATTTTTATATTTTTGAAAAATAACTTGATACGTATTTTGTAAAAAAATCATGAAATAAAATTATTGATTTTTTGAAAACCATTTAGTAACTGTATTGTGATTGGAAATTCGAGTGATATCAATTATAAAGTTATCATCAGTGTCTTACTCTATATTGGATGTCAGTGTTTGTGATTTTTCAATTTTTCAATTTAATATTGTAAATCAATTACCAAGTATAACTTAATAATTAAACAATCAATTTAATCAACATGAAAACATTACGTATTGCTTCAGAAGAGTAAACATGGAAAAAGTTTTCTTCTCTTCCCTCTGTCCAAATTTTAAAAAGTAATTTTACATAATCAGACCTTATCACTTTCAAACAGTTTTTACAATAGGTAAAAACTCTCAAGCAAGAACATACGCTTTTATACGTATTGTCCCAGAAACTTTAATTCGTCAGATTCGAAAAAGATGCAGTTTATGAATATTAATACACCTATATTAACACAATTGTTATTAACAAAAGTATTAAAGCAGTTGATAGTAAATTTTGTAGAGATTACAGAGACTTTGATATTCATAAATTTAAAATATTCTGTCTGATCAATTTCTCATTTAGTGTTTCTTGTTCTTACGTTTACTTGAGGGGTTGAAATAAAAAATAATTTTTCAACTGATAAAAACCTCATTATTTAGTGTAGCTCAGTAGTAGAAACAAAAAATTTCATCAACTTTTTTAAAGTCAACAATAGTCGTGCAGTATCTTTATTATGAGAAATTTTAAAAACTGTTCGAATGACTTTAGTCATATATGTGCACCAGAAACTATATTTCAAATAGCCTTAGTATTTTTCAAGAAAATTTAGTGAATGGAAATTTGAAGTTCTTTCTGTAAGTTTAATTAAAAATTGTGCTGAATGGGATACTTGAGATCTAAAAAAAAAGAAAGAAAAAAAAAAAAAGAAAAGAAACTCAATAACTTTCCATCAAAAAAGTTTACTCGTGTACTTTTAAAATTGAATTGGCTTTGGCAAAAATTTTATGCCGTACCACACTTAAACACGACAAAGTAATCAGGCCTTTTGCAATTCAAATCCACGTGCAACTCCGTATTCATTTTTGAGCTCAGTGTACACGCCCCAGACTTCCCTTGAAGGTTCACGCAAAGACTGTTTACTCATCACTACGGCAAACACGTGTAGAATAGTGCCTTAAACTTCAGCATTGATTTCTAAACGTTTTAAGGAATAAAAGTTCTTAGCAGTGAGATGCTCAAACGGAAAGATCCATTCTCTGTATTTCCTTCGCAAACGGCAACAAAAGCGGCGCTATCACTGGAGGCCCGAAACAATGACTCGTCCCGGTATCCGTTTCCACACGAAAGCCGGAAAATTTCCCAATTCCAGAGATCGTCGCACGCATACACAATTTTTTTTTTTCCCCAACTGGCAAAGATTCCTTTAATCTGTAAGGCAAGAATTCACACGAGCCAAAATTCACGGTGATACTGCACAGGCGTGTATCGCACCGAATTCCATCGGATTGTACCATCGTTTATACGCACGTACGTGTTTGTTCTACACTTTTTTATGTAGAAAGAAACAGAGGGAGAGCGCGAGACAGTACAGCAACAATAAGTACCCAAGGAAACGGAAGCGGCTTACGCAACGGCTCTCTCGTCCTCGTAATATACACACATACGTATACGTATACGGTGCGTCGAGGAAAGTCGTACAGAGAGCCGTGCACTCGGGCGATATTTTAATAGTCACTTTTCTCGCGTATGCTCACGAGCTGGTGCACGACGTCGTAATAACGAGGGGTGTCGTGGTGCCGTGTTAGCTCTGACGAGAGAGCGCCACGAGACACTTTATGACTGGCACGAGAGAGCGTCGACAGAGAGATGATTTGTCTCTCGAGGCTTTTGTGACGTTTTTTGCTCTCTCGTTACAACCATCTCCAATGCAACCGTTGCATTGAAAGTCCATGGATGTTCACGTATCGTATCTTCAGGAAAACTTCGGAGCAGCCATTTTCTTTATAAAGGGCTTTTCTCGAGTTCGAGATTATATTGAATTTAACGATACGTTTAGCTGTAAGACATCTTTTTGCAGGATTACGTTGAACGAATACAAGAAAGAGCTTTTAAAAATGTCATTTAAACTTTGCTCTCTCTAATTGAAACAGGGGACAAATTTTGCTTTAATGGAAGGCCCTTCAGCGATAAGCAGCTTATTGGCATTCCCTTCGATGATGACTACGACGATAAGTAGTAAATTTTCAAGGATTCATTGAAATTTATATTACTATATTCTCACACTCATTATTTGATACACTAAAATTGCCAAGGGACAGCAAAAAAAAAAAAAAAAAAAATCGAGATAAACATAAAACATGACGAACATATCCCATCCTTCTTTGATAACATAAAAAAACAAGCATTAATTTGAGCTTTCTGAGTCGAAATTAACAATTCATATCAAGCTGAAATCAACTTTTCTTGGTAACCTTACAACTTCTATCGATCTCCATAACTTGCTTTTTTGTTTAGGGGTTAATTAACAAAAATAAACCCTCACAGTTTGACTACGCACCGTAACTAATACACACATCAATCAAGTAATAGTAAAAATAATAATAAACCAAAGTATCAAGCATACCTGCAGCATCGTCGTATGAAATAGCGTCGCACAATATTACAAGAGGCAAAACAGTCGAACAATATTAAGAGCAATCGCGTGCCTAAAGGACAAAACAAACCAAAGTAATGAATAACGACGAGTGAATACCGGCTTGTTTGCGTTAGAGTTGTGCGCGAAGACACTGATAGCATCATCTTCGGCCGATGGGCTTATATCCATCTCCCACCCGGAGGTCCCCACTGGCCGCCACCACCGCGTTCACGCATCTCTCTCTCTCTCTCTTTTTCTCCTCGTAAGCCCGTATACAGCGTACCTACGGCCGCAAAAACGAGAGGTCCCATTCCCTCCACTCCTTTCGACCCCCACCCTCGTGAAACGATCATCCATCCGTCGCTCTTTTTTTCTTGGCGCTGAACCCTTCGCCGGAGGGTTCGCTTACTGCGGCTCCTTTCTCTGTCTTCGTGCGAGGCCTCCCACCTACCACCTAATGCGCCACACGAGCCAACGAGTCGCACGTGTCCCAGAGCTCACTCAAGTTGGACGAGAGTGTTATACGGTATTACCTCCCATCATGGATATGCATACATTACAAGGTTGAGTTTTTTACCCTCATTGGTGAAGTTTTGTTGCCACTTTAGATTCTTTTTTTTCTTCTTCTTCTTCTTTTTTTCCATAGCTCGAGAAAGAAAAGAGATACTCTATTTGTTTCGAAATCAAAGTGGCACCATTTGATGTTTCGGTGCTTAGTTTTCAAGATGAATAAATCGAAACTAAAATTCATAGTGAAAATAATTTCTCTGATAGCTTAACAGGTTAACATTGTTATTCATCTCACTTAAAAGGAGGTTTTGTTAATAAGCTGTAGCTTCTAGCTGTGAGGTTACGGTCTTTGGGTTAAGTCAAATGCTTCGCGAGGATACCAACGTCAGCTGGTCGCACTGAATGGCTTTGAAAAGACAATCAATGGTTTTGATCGGCATCGAGATTTTTTGCTTGTCAAGTAAGGGCTTTTTTAATCACAAAATTTCTGGCTATTTGAAATCGCTTATCACAAACTTGCCAACAAACAAAATTTGTTAGCCTTTGGAATGACGAATGAAATGGAAAGAAAAAAGTTAATCGATTTAAGGTGTGGAAAAAATTTCGCTTGCAAATTACAAAATTACTCCGCGAGATAGCAGGGGATAGCAAGTTTATTCCATTTGTATGCAAAAATGTTTTGATAGAATTAGAAATGGAGTAGTCTATATCTTCAGCTTTGCGATTGTCGATTCTGAAGTTAGAATCGAGTTTTCGATGATTTTCATGAACAAACATTAGAATCTTCCTGGGCAAATGTTTCCCAGGCAAGCTTTATAATGAGTGACACACGTTCGCAAGTGCTGATAACATTGCTATTTAAAAAGACTCGAAAATTTTGTGATGGATTGAATTCACGGAATACAATGGAAATTTATGACCAAAATTGAATAATAATAATAATAAAAAAAAAAAACTTTTCTCGTGCGAAAAAAGATGTCGGAAACTGAGAGCACACGCATCATCACGACAAAGGAATGAGAATGAGACGCGTCGACTCATAAAGGAATAAAAAACGAAAAAAATAAGAGAAGGTACGTTGTGAGTCTCTGCAGTGCAATTAGAGAATCTCAAGGAAGGCAATAGAGCGTCGTCACCATCAAACCATCATCATCATCATCTCATCATCATCACCATCATCATCGAGGAAGAAAAAAGAAAAAGAGGAAAACGTAAGTATCCTCGTGTCGAAAGTGAAACCAAGAGTGTTCCACGGCGCATAAAGAGGAGACAACCCACGGTGACTTGGCGATGTTTGCACCTACTTTGCACGTCGAGAATCGTTTCACAGCCCAGTTTCGCTCCGCTTAGCGCAGCTCAACCTCACAGAGGCGTGGCAAGCTTGTGCCCATACATCCATATACGCTATGTCCACGCGTTGGAGGACCTTTTTCCTCGCTTTTTCCTCGCTAAGGTGAGCACAGTTGCGCGACGACGCAAAAGTACCCACATGGCCAAAAGGAGCCCACGATGCAGGTGTCGCAAACATTTCGTCCCATTACCCGAAAGTAGTTCCGTCTCGTATCCTAATGACCCTTGGCTCGGTCCTTGTTTATGAGTATTTTTCTTACACTTCTTTTTACTTCGTCTATCGAATCGAATGCGAGGACTTTCCCTCGGAATGTTTCAATGTACTCCTTCTCTCTTTTTGCCTGTGCCCCCTCAATGGGATGACTTTCCTTTGGGACGCCAAAGCAAGGAGACGTCTGGTCCAATTCTCCCCTCTTGTTTTTAATTCCCCAACAAATGGAATACCAATGGCCCTCATTTTCGGATTACCCTCCGGGTTTCGTCAATGGAGCATCGCGAAAGAGCCACGATGGCTGATGAACGAAACATTAATTGCCCCCCTCTCGAGATAGGATGGAAGGAGAACGAGTCACGTAAGAATCGACGGGCCACTGCGAAGCCTCGATACTTTTGTGTACACAATACCCGCACGGCGCTTCCGTAACATCCACGAGGCGTCCGCGATTCTTTATGTAACGGAGGAGAGCAGAACCAACATAATTTCATAATAGAGAGCGACTGCGAGTTTACGTGTGTCTACGACGGGGATTGTAGGTGAGCGCGAAAAGGTCGCTTTTTCTTTCAAAACCCCCCAATTGCGAATCCATACGACAGAGCCATCGAAGCGAGTCGCGGTGATTTTCGTCTGTTTTTCGTGGGCCAAACAACTTAATGTTGACGCGTGCGTCCGAAAAGAGACACACGTTTGTCGCAATCTAGGGTAATAATCGGTTTGCAGCGAGAGAGCACTCGAGCGTACAGACTATCGAGATTGGGCGCTCATGCCAATGAGCGCTAATTGCGTGTGTACGATGCTTTTGTTAACACACGTGTGAAATTAGCTTGTATCTATATTTATCGTGCCAGACTTTCATGCGTGGATATACATATGTATATGTATGGATGATTTCATTCGGTGCAATGTTTAGGAAACACTGGCTCCGTTGTTTTAACAACCTCTCATTAATGCCATATCTTGATATTACGAGATTAGTATTGCGAACATTGTGCTCTCTTTCACCGATCGCGTAATCCTTGGGTTTTGGGATGCTTTTATCGTCCTCGTTAATATGGACGATGTTGGTTCGTTTTTTTGAACAAAACGAAGGTCCTTGAACGAAGCACCGACGTGGGAGCCTTGTGTGAAAATTTTGGTTTCAATGGTCGAAAAAATAGACAGCCAGATAACAAGAAGAAGATAATAAAACGAGCATCCTGCTGACATGATACCTACACACGTGGTGCACGTCCAACATTTGGAATATAGATATATTTATGTATGCTCGCGAGTGCGTGCGTGGTCATAATACACAAATCACGATGCTCTCCCTCCAGCGCACCTGTACTTGTAAAAGAGAAAGAGATGGAGGCGGGCGCGTGGCTGTGTAGAAACACTTCCCTGATGAAATCACGCGCGGGGTATACAAGTCTGATGGCAGCGAGTGGTAAACGAAATCCGGCCGAAAGTTTGCACGTGTGTTATGCCGTTGTATATACCACTTGGCGTGCACGCGCGCGTGTGTACCCATTCATCGGACATTGGAGGGCAGTCCAGATGATATGGGGATTGCTTAAGCCAGACATTGTTCGGAAGGGTAATTAGCGACGCGCGTCTGTGGAACTTCTATATGTGGGTCTCTACGTATTGTATACACTGGGAACACTTGTATGCCCTGTATTTTACATTTTTGTTACTTCTTCTTCTTTTTGGTATGTATCTTTTATACGATGATGTTGTTTTTATTCCACAAAGGAAGCTTGTTGGGCTTACTTTTATCTAGGTTTTTTTGTTTCATCCTCTTTTATCAACAGTCTTACGTCAAAGTGCGATGTACACGTTTGATAAGAGTCTTATTTTTGGGCGGATGGTGCTGAAAATGAAACAACAGCGTGAGAGCCGAGAGACAAAGGGTTTGGGTGTATATACCTAAGAATGTATACGTGCAAGCTGACGCGCTGTTTGTCGCTAAAAGCCAAGGACTGATTTCAGGAAACGAGGTTTGATGAAAAATAGTTGAGCTTGTTTTTGTGGTCCAGCAGTTTTTAAGCTCCGTTGAAAGGATTTTTATCTGCAAGTTTAGTAGCTAGTTAAGTTGAAAAAAGTGAAAATAATTTTGCTCACATGAATTTCGTCGCGTTTTAAAGAATTCCTTTTTATTTTTGTCTCCAATACCTATCAACATAAGAGGTAGTTTTTGGGAAACACAGACCTTACGTTGAATTGGAGATTGTCCAATATTTTCAGATTTTCATAAATGATATTCCAATTTATTCGCTAATCATACAGTCGACTATGGAATTCATTATCTCTTTCCAGTCTGCAAAGTAGCGTAATACGTTACCATGTCGATACAGAGAACATATTCCGTGGCACATGTTCGCGAAGTACATCAATTTCAGGAACGAATGTAACGCGGCTCGCCAATCATTCAATCGTTAGAGTAGCCGCACATGCACGCGAGCGCACGAGCGAGTGTAGGTATGGATTAAACAAAAAAAAGAGAGAAAAGTGGCGGAGAGAAGAAGATAACCGAATGTACGCAGCAGCAAAGTTTGCATTAGCCGGATTACACTTCTTCCGGCATTAGTTACACTTGCATCTCGAATTCCTAGTAGACTTTTTTTGCCCTGGAAGAGCCTTGGTTTCGGTAACCAATTTTCACACACAGATTGTGCAACGGTTGGTTTATACTTGCACATAATTTTCTGGGAATGAAGGATCACCCGGAAAAAAAAATTGGCAAACTAAAATTTGTTGTTATGCTGATTTTAAAGTCGTTTCAGCTGGTGTTTTTCTAAACTGTTATGGTTAAACATTTTTAGAGCCCCTATACTAATTGCATGCATTCCTTAGAGTGTTTAAGGATATATGATAAGCAGCGATTAAAAAACTACGCGTTCATCCCAAATTATTAATTGTATAGAATGAAAGGTTTAAAAAAAGGGGGAAAAAAATTTGAGATGATACCGTTTAACTCAACTAACGACCCAAGGAATACGCATAGGTAATAGTGATTTTTATTATTCCAGTTCAAATTTGATGATGAAAATTTTAAGCATCAT